CTGCGGAGGCGGCAGAGGCGACGGATGCCCGCGCCTCCGCCGCTGCCTCCGGCGGGCACCCCCTCCCCGCCCCGCTGGCGCCCGCCGCCGTGTCCTTGGCTCCAGAGCGCCACTCGCGACTTGGCGTTGATGATGAAGACGTGCGAGGGAGGGATGTCGGCGGAGAGGTACGCAGTCGCGTCCTTGGCGCGGTTCCCAAAGCCGGCGTACAGCCCGCCGCGGCAAGGCGACACCGCCCCGCAAGCCTCCAAGGCCGGGGACGTCGCGGTGGCGGCGGTAGCGGTGGCGGTGGCGGCGGTGGCGGCGGCGGCAGTGGGGGCGTCTGCAATAGCGCTGTCGCCCGGCAGTGCGGCTGCCGCAGTAGAGGCTGGCTGCGGAGGCGTGAAGAGGGAGGCGATGCGGCGGAGTGTGTCGGCCTTGAACCTGGGCGGTGGGAGAGGAGGGCTGGGAGGGGGGAGAGGAGGGCTGGGAGGGGGGAGAGGAGGGCTGGGCGGAGAGGTTGAGGTGGCGAGGGGCAGAGGGCTGGGCGGACGCCTGGCGGACGCCTTGAGGACGACCTCGTCCATCAGCGCACTCAGCGTCGAGGTGTGCGGCGTGGTGAGCACCGGGCAGGGCGGGAGGCCTGCGGACGCGGCGTGGACATGCCGTGGGCATGCCGTGGACGGGTCTGTGCGGCCGGCTTTGGTTGTTGGCGCGCGCCGAATCCGGAGGGCGAGTCGCGTGCGACGCGAAAGAGAAAGTGGCGGGTGGAGGCGATGCCGGTCGGGCCGGCGAGCGGCCTCGCGGAGAGGAAGAAGACGGCATACCCACGCGCCTCGAGCCGGCACGCCAGCTCGCAGACGCCGCGGTGCAGGAGCGGCACGCCGAGTTGCTGGCCGATGTGGCCAGAGATGTCTGCCTGCGTGACCGTGCCGTCCACGTCAAAGACGACCGCCGCCGTCGACGACTCCCAGAGGTGAAGGTGCGCCACTGCGCTGTGCGCCGCGCCGTCGCCGATGCCGTGCGAGCCCTCGCCTCCCTCGCCTTTGCCGCCCATCGCGGGCGTGTAGGAGATGGCGTTGCGGCCGGGAAGCATCGCACCGCTCTCGAGCAGCGCCCGGAGCGTCGCCTCGGACGGAACCAGCCGCGGCGTCTCTGCGTCACCGTCTCCAAACTGCGCCGGCGCGTCGGCGGCGGCCGCACGCATCCGCTCAGGCAGAGCGGTGCCGTTGATGGAGACGCGGACCTCCGGCACGGCGCTGCGAAAGACCACCCGCCAGTCGCTGGAGCAGAGGGTGCCATCTAGGTGGCGCACGACGATTATGTCGAGCGCCGCCATGTTTTTACTTCCCGAGAAAAAATAAAAAGTGCCGCAGCATCCAGGTTGCAGCGAGCCGCGCTCGATCTGGGAGCCACTCGGCGCCAGTTCGAGCGGCGGTCGGCTCGGCCACTGCGGGTGCGACGCATGATAGAGCATGCTGGGCGCCGCATCGTGTACTACCGACCCACGCCAAGGCGCGGGGCGGTGTCGCTGGGCCAGAAAGTCGGCCCCGAGTGCGCCAGCAGCAGCCTCGTTGAGCCAGAACGTCGGCTCGCGAGGTGGGTGCTTCCTAGTATGAGCCCGCTGAGGCGCAGTGCTCTTGCAGAGGCGGTTAGTGGTGCACTAACCCCGAGAAACCCTTCGGGTCACTCTCTCTCTCTCTCTCTCACTCTCTCCACCACACCATCACCACCACCACCCACTCCTCTCCTTAAAATCCCTGTGTGGCCTGTGTGGTGGCAGTGAGTGAGTGAGTCCCTCACACACTGTGGTGGCAGCAGCAGCGTGCCGTCCTCCCATCCCTCCCTTGTCTGTCTTTGTTTCTTTTATCTTTGTTTCTTTTTGTCCCGAATCCAGCCTGGTTGGGCGGGCAATGGCGTCCGCTCCGCTAGCTGTCTGTTCGTTTTGGGGGTCACCCTCCCCATCATGCACGCCGCCGCGTACTCGCTGTCGGTCCGCACTACTCCGCGTGAGCCCGCTCGTTGCGGTGACGAGGACAGGAGAGCCCGGAGGAGCTCGGCTAGGGCGGTTAGTTCCGCCGTGTTGTTGGTATGCCTTCGCGCACCGAGGTAGGCTGGGTGCGCCGCCGAAGTGACAACTGGCCCGTAGCCCTCGCTCGTCAGCGACGCGCCCCTATCGCCGATTGCGTCGCCCCCGATGAGTACTGTATAGGCCCACCCTGCTTTCCCTAGGTCTTCCGACCCGTCTGTGTATGCCACCCAGTCGGGCGGGCGTCGTTGCGCCTGCTCTGCCAGTTGCTGCTGTGGGCGAAGAACGACCCCTGGTGCCTCGACCATTAGTCTCAGCTTGACCCGGCATGCCCCCCCTTCACCCTGAGGCGCTACACAGAGGAGTGCGACTGCGCTCACCGCGCAGCCGTTTGCCGCCACCCCTCGGACAGATTCGAGCGTGTCGGGGAGCTCGCACTCACCTTCGCTGGAAAAGAATCCTGAGGCGAGCCACTCCGTCTCCCACTCCGCAACAGGCCCCTCCCCTGGCGACGGTTGCCAGCCCGGGAGTCGGAGCGAATCGCCTTCTCCTCGTCAGAGGCGCAAACCTCAAGGGTACGCGAAATTGAACAGGCCGCGGGGTACATCTTGGACGGCCATGCTGGAGATTGCCTCGCTTCTGCTCGTCGCGCTGCCGGCGTCTGCTTATACGGTATTCGCTCCGCCCTGGTACAATTACTCACTCAGGCAGGCTGACCCTCAAACGCGCACTCCGGCGTGCGCAGGCCGAAACTGTCGACGACATCAACCCGAACGCTCGCAGCACCACATTTGCACCCAAGCCCCCTCCCGTGCCCGACCCGGTGAATGACCCCGCCTGGCTGATCGCCACCTCCGGCTTCTGCTCGAACCTCAACGTCGTCATGAAGGAGCGCGACGTCGAGGCGAGCGAGACGGAGGGCGATACCGCGGCCCACTTCATCGCCGACATCTCCTTCAACTACTACCCGCAGACGGCGGTCAAATTCACCGACTTCCCGCACCACCTCGCAAAGACCATCGAGGGCGACGCGGCCGAGGCGGACGCACTGGTCTCAAGCGCGTGGGACCACAAGAACATCGCGCTGCTCGAGCCGACGTCGACGTGCGGCCCGGAGCAGGGCGATCAGGCTTGGGGCATCTCGGTCTTCAAGGTGGAGGAGCACCGGCACTGCAGTGACGGCGAGACTGCGTGGGAGGGACACCCCTGCGTCCACTACTCCGGCTACGTCTCGGCCGAGAGGTCCAACTTTGTGAACATGAAGCAAGAACGGTTCGTCTGCCAGCTGTTCGTCGACTCGGGCGAAGACATGAACTGCGATTGCTCAGACATGTTTTCGATTGCACGCGTTCTCGAATGCCCACTGTGTGCTCTAAGTGGCTGAAAAGTCAATCAATTGTTTTTTGAGCCCCTACGCCCTCGGGACGCGCACCGCGCTACTGCTCCCGGGCCAGGGGTGTAAGGGAACACACTAGGGCACACCAGGGCCGGTCTAGCCGGCCTTATCCCGCCCACAGCCTTCGAAAACGCACAAAAATCGCACCGCCGGAGCCGCGGCGAATCGCCGCTGGAGGCCGCGTGTCGCGCCACCGACGGCCGCACGTCGAACCCCCGGCTCCGCGCCGCTGCTCCACCGCGCCGGCCATCCAGCGCGCACCCCCCAAGCTGCTGGTGCCCTCTTAAAGGGCCACAAAGCCTCGAAAGGAGCCGTCGACCGTCACCTAACAGAGGGGTGTCGGCCCCGGGCTCGCCGCTCTTGCGAGCGGACGGCGGCGTCTAGGGCGGAGCCAGCGGTAGTAGCGGTGGTGCCGGCGTGTGCCGTGACGGAGGGGGTGGCGGCGGGGCGCGGACGGCGGGGTGCGGCGGCCGAGGATCGAGCGGGGGGGGCGGCAGCGGTGGCACCATCGTCGGCGGAAGTTCGACCTGGCGGGTGAGAGGTGGGAGGCGCCGAGGGCGGAACCGCTGCGGACGCGGCGAGGTTGGAGGCGCAGAGGCCGAGGCGGCACGGGCGGCGGCGCCGACGGCACTGCAGCGCCGGTGCAGCGCCGGGGAGGGCGGCTGAGGTGGCGCGGACGGCGGTGGCGAGAAGGCGGGCGGAAGCTTAGACGGGTGGTGGTGGAGGAGGAGGCGGCAAAATCACGGGCGAAGCGCCGAGGGGGGCGGCGGAGGCGGTGCACCAGCGGTGGGGAGGGTAGCTACGGCGGCGGGGTAGCGGCCAGCATCGCCAGGGGGGGCGGGAGGTGCCGCGGGTGCCGCACGGGCGGCGGCGGCCGTGCCGGTGATGGCGCCTGGTAAAGGGGAGGCGCGGGTCTGAGAGGCGGACGCGCGGGCGGGAGAGGTGAGTGAGACCACGCACGCGGCTGCGGTCGCGTCGCGCCGTGCGGGAGGGGCGCCGGCGCAACCACGGCGGCAGCCGAGGCGGCTCATCGCGCCGTACAGAGGCTCCGGGGAGGCGCGCGGTGCGGCGGCGCACCGCTGGATCGCCGCGACAAAGTGTAGCCGAGGCGGGGCGGGAAGCGCCCGAGCCGGCCGTTGGGGCGGCGCCGACGCCGCCCAGGATGCCGTGGGCCGATGGTGCGGAGAAGCGGCCGCTCCCCCTCTCGGGGCGGCCGCAAAACCTGTGCAGCAGCAGCACGCCGAGAACGCGCCTGCGGGGGTGAGGTGCCTAGAGCTGCTAATGAGATTGCGGGCCCCGCCGCGATTACTTTCTCCCTCCAAAGTGCATGTGCCTTGGGAAGGGGGTGCAAGCACACCTCCGCTACTCGGAAGATAGGGTCGTCCGACTCGATCGCGAGCGAGCGCGGGTAGACGGCGGCGTCCGCAAAGCGACGGCTCGCGCGCGACCGCGGGCTTGCGCGTCGGCCGTGCGCGGGCAGAGGGTGCTGAGGGGCGAGCGGTGGCGGTCGCTCGCCCGGGCAACCCGCGCGCGGGCGGCGCGCCGCAGCGGGGAGCGCCCAGGGGCGCGGCGCGTGCTGGCTGCGAGCGGGCGCTTGACATCGTTTTTGAGGAGAGATAGCCCAAAAATATACCGCCGGATAACGGCGGCACATAGGAGAGCCGCACGTCTGGGTTCGGTCCGGAATCTTCGCTGTGGGAGACGAGGGTGGTGCCGTCGGCGCTCGCGAGGCGGCCGACGCCGTACATGGTGCACGCATGCGTGGTGCTCGAGAGGAGGAGGGCGTACGCCGGGCGCATTGTTCTGTCCGAAAATCGCCGATGGGACGCGCGCAACGCTGAACCGAGGAACGGCCGACGCCCGCAGCTCAGGGGGTTGGGTATGCTTCGCATCTCCAGCTATTTGAGCACTTGAGCACTTGATAGGGTCGATTCCGCATGGTACGGGACCCCTCCGATCGTCTCGCCCTCCCTCACTGGTGCGTTCATTGGGGGGGGGTCATTCATAACAAACACGGTGCAGGATCGAGGTGCACGCCGCCAGAGCAGTGTCGTCCCCCCTCTCCCCGACGGTGATGGCGGTGTGACCGATCGAGCTACAAGAGGAGCTTGTTCAGCAGGATCCGGGGTAGTCTGGCGCACTACCTCACTGGGCCTGAGACCGCCGAGACGCCTCCCATCACCGTCTCGGATTCATGTGGGATCGAACCACTCCGGGATGGGCAAGCCCATCAATTTTCGTTTCGTATTTCCCTGCACCTGCAGGCGATGGCGAGAGAGAGATGAGTGGAGCTGGGACGGAAGGGGAGAGGAGGAAGGGCGGGGGCCGGGATGGGAGGGGGGGGGGGGGGGTATTTTGGGGGGGCTCTCCCCTTCCTTCTTTGGGAAACCCCGCGGCCCCCCCGGGGTTTTGGGGGGGGTTTTAGAAAACCAACCCCCCGTGGGCGGGAGGGTTTTTTCCCGCCCCCCCCCCCCCCCTTTTTTTTTTTTTGTTCAGGGGGCCGGGGGTTTTTTCCCCTAATGGGGGGGTTCCCGACCCCCCGGCGGGAGGGGGGGCCCTTTCCCCTTTTTAAAGGCACAAAGGGGGGGGGCCCCCCCCCCCCCCCCCCGCGAGGTCCTCACTGTCCGTGGCGCTCAGACCGGCCGCTATATCCGCGGCCGTCTGCCCTCCTGGGCGCCGAGCGGGCCCCCCGCCCCCCCCTACGCCCGAGCCACCCTGGCCGTCGCTCTCGTCACCACTTCCGTCCTCCCCATCGGGTGGCCCGCCATCTGCCGCGCCGGGCGGCCCGCCCTCGCCTGAGTCGACCGTCATCTCGTCGGGCTGGTCATCCTCCTCGCCCTCCAGCTCGTAGTCGGAGACCTCCCGACCCAGCTCCTCGCGTTCGTCGTCGCCCGCCACTCCCCCGGTCCATGCCGATTGTCCGTTTGCGGTGCGCCACTGGCCGACGGTCTCCCATATTGCCATGGCGGCGTCGGCGCAGCCTGCGACGATTTCGCGGGTCACAGTCGACCTGGCCACCGCCGGATCTATGTTGCCCCTCGCCTCGGCCACCCGTTCCGCCTCCCTTCTGACGGCCCGCGTGCTGGGTTCCGGGACCATCCCTCCTATCACCGAGAGCGTCGTGAGCCAAGCCGTGTCTGACGGGAGCTCTCGTGAGGTGGCGGGCTGCGGGACGGGTGTGGCAGGCTGCACGGGCGACACGCCCGCGCTGGAACGGCTGGCGCCCTGCGCCGTCCGACTCCTGCTCGAAGATCCGGTCGAGCAGGCGGCCTAAGAGAGGCGGCGAGGCGGCGTGCGCTTTTCGCTGTCGCAGGCTGCGAGGCGTGCGTCGTGCTTACCTCCCCGCGCATCGTCGGGAGCCGAGTGAGCATACGCATCCACCTCGATGCTGCCGTAGTCGAGCGCGCGCACGACACGTTTGGCGCTCCCGTGCTTCCACGGGTTTGGCGAGTTGCCAGCGGACCAGCCGAGGTCGCGCAGCGTCGAGCGGTGGCGGCCCATCTCGAATCCCGACGACCCTGAGTGGCGGCGGCAGTGGTGGGTGAGATGACAGCTTGATGGTAGGGCAGACGGTGTGTGACGCCGACGAACCTGCGAGAAGCGAAAGCAGTGGCGAGATGTGCAAGTCAAAGAGAGCGACCTGCGACGAGAAGAAAACGCGCGATCGAATTCTTTTTTATCGCCCTACGCCGCTACGCGGACCGCGTACCGGACCGCCAGTCCCACCGGGGCTCTCTAGTCTCTTCAGGGCTCTCTAGCCCGCAGCCCGATCCCGCGACCAGCGTCCGGCGCCGCTGGGTGCGCTTCTTAGGACTTAGCCGCCGGCCGCCCTTGTGTGTGAGGTACTCCAAGGCGCACAGCAAGAGAGACTGTGAGACGAGACACAGTCCGCACACACACCACCAGCAGCACCCCGCGGACCGAGGGCGGTGCTGGTGCTGGTGATGATGTGTGGGATGGGGCGATCTCGAGCCTGGTCACGCTGCCTTGCGCGCCCCCTCCCAGTCCCGGATCATCCGGCGCAGCATGTGACTAGGGACCAGGATGCTGTGCTCGAGCTCGCCGCCCGTCAGCGGGCTGGTCGACTTGGTCGCGAGCCAGCGCTCGATCGCCGTCCGCTCGTAAGCATGCCCGTCCGCCGCCATCACCGGGTCGCTCATCACCTCGGTCGTGATCGGGCAGACGAAGTCGTCCGGCGGCTCCTCCTCCTCCACCGAAGGCGGCCTCTCTGCAGCCAAAGAGGACGACGCTTGCTCGTCGGGCGCCTGCCTCTCCTCCTCCAGCCTCGCGCTCTCCTCGAGCGCCGCCGCCAACTCCGCCTCCTCCCCCGCCGCCAGCGCTGCCTCATCCTCGGGCTCCCGCGACGGCCCAGCGCCTCCACCTCCGCCCTTCCCCTTCTTCTTCTTCTTCTTGCCCTTCTTGCTCTCCTTCTCGCGCCCCCCCGCCTCCTTCTCCGCCTCCTCCTCCGCCAGCAGCGCCTCGGCATGCCGCGTCGCCTCCGCCTCCGCCTCCGCCGCCACATGCTCCTCGAGGGCGCGCACGCACTCGGCGTGGCCCTTTTTCTTGGCCAGCTGCAGCGCCGTCCTGCCGCTCTCGGAGCGCAGCGCCGTGTCTGCGCCCGCCCGCAGCAGGCGCCGCACGACGGCGGGGCGGTTCAAGAAGGTGGCGTCCATCAGCGCGGTGATGCCTGTGCCGTTCTGCAGGTTGATCTCCGCGCCGCGCTGCAGCAGCAGCTCGACCAGCCTCTCGTGGCCTTGGCTGGCGGCGCCCATTAGCGCGGTGTAGCCTTTGCTGCTCTGCAGGTTGATCTCCGCCCCGCGCTGCAGCAGCAGCTCGACCACCCGCTTGTGGCCCTCCTGGGCGGCGATCATCAGCGCGGTGAAGCCTTTGGTGCTCTGCAGGTTGATCTCCGCGCCGCGCTGCAGCAGCAGCTCGACCACCCGCTCGTGGCCTTGCTCGGCGGCGATCATCAGCGCGGTGCCGCCTTTGCTGTCCTGCAGATTGATCTCCGCGCCGCGCTGCAGCAGCTCGACCACTCGCTCGTGGCCTTGGCCGGCGGCGCGCATCAGCGCGGTGAAGCCGTTGCTGTCCTGCAGGTTGATACCCGCGCCTCTCTGCAGCAGCAGCTCGACCACCCGCTCGTGGCCGTTGCGGGCGGCGCCAATCAGCGCTGTGATGCCGCTCACATCGCCCATCCCGCAAGTCGCGTTGACCTGCCCGCCGCTGTCGAGCCACGCCAGCAACGCCGCCTCGTCGCCGTCAATAGCTGCTGTCACGGCCGAAGAAGCCTCGCGCCGGCCTGCAGCCACCTCCGCGACGTGCTGCCGGAAGGCTTCGACGCACGCGCTGTGGCCGTTCTGCCTGGCCCACTGCAGCGCGGACCTGCCGCTTTCAGAGCGCAACTTTGGATCCGCGCCCGCCCGCAGCAGGCGGAGGACGACGGCGGGGCGGTCGTTGCAAGCGGCGTCCATCAGCGCGGTGCCGCCTCGGCTGCCCTGCTTGTTGATCTCCGCACCGCGCTGCATCAGCAGCTCGACCACCCGCTCATGGCCTTGGCTGGCGGCTTTCATCAGCGCAGTGCCGCCTTTGCCGTTCTGCTTGTTGACCTCCGCGCCGCGCTGCAGCAGCAGCTCGACCACCCGCTCGTGGCCGCGAGCGGCGGCTAGCATCAGCGCGGTGTCGCCGTTGCTGTTCTGCTTGTCGACCTCCGCGCCGCGCTGCAGCAGCAGCTCGACCACCCGCTCGTGGCCCTCCTGGGCGGCGAGCATCAGCGCGGTCATGCCGCTCGCATCGCGACGAGACGCGTAGCGATACACATTTCCTTCCCCGCAAGTCGCGTTCACCCTCCCGCCGCTGTCGAGCCACGCCAGCAGCGCCGTCTCGTCGCCTCGCGCAGCCGCTCCCCCCGCCTCGTTGGGAAGGCGCGCCAGTAGGCCGGAAGAGGCCGCCTCGCCCGAGGAGGCGCCGCCCGCCTCCACCATCAGGGTACGCGCTCCACGCCGGCTGCGGGCTGTTTTTCTTTTTCTCCAATCTTCTCCCCTTAGAAGAAAGACTGGCGCTAACCGGAGCCAAAAAGAAACCGCGAGTCAGGCGGAGTAAAATTCTTTTTCACTATGGGCGCGCCAAGCGAGAGCGCCACTTGGCCTTGCCGTCGCTCGACCGCGCGTGTGCAGACTATGGGCGCGCCAAGCGAGAGCGCCAATGCCGTGCTCGAGAGATTGGTCCTATTGGGAAAGCGGAGTGCATTGATCGGTTCAGAACCGCCGGGATGTAACGCTCCTGAGGGTCTCAGCACGGCGTTGTGGCCCCTCGCAGTGCCGGGACACGCGGAGCTGCGGCTGCAGAGGCGCGCGACGGGGACCGAGGGCCCCCACGAGGACGATGGTGACCTCGGCAGCCTCAGGGACGGCACCGGCTATGATCCGGGCCCGCGCCCAGCATGCGCGATGCGCGTGTGCGCCTTTTTGGCGAATGCTCCCAGCTCAAACGAGCCGCTGCGCCTGCTAGAGCTCGGCGCAGGAATCGGCACCTGCGGTCTCTTCTTTGCGAGCCGGATCGACGGGCGGGCGAGCGTCGTGCTCTCTGACTGCGACCCAGAGGCACTCCGGCTCGCGCGCCTCAACGCGGCCTCGCTGGACGCCCGCGATGCGAGCCGGGTGGCGGTCCGGCGGTATGTCTGGGGGCAGCCCCTCGACTCGGGGTTCGATGTCGTCCTCAGCAGCGACTCGGTGTACACGCGGTCGCAGGCGGCGCCCTTTTTCAAGGCTTGCAAGGAGGCCGCCCGGCATGACGACGGACGGGGTCTGGACGCCGTCGTCATCATGTCCCACTGCGTGCGTCGGCCGACGGTCTTCGGCGACGCATCCAAGGCCGCCGGCGCACACGGCGGCAGGGCGCAGAAGCGGCGGCGCGTCTTCATCGAGTCTGAGGACGCGGCGCTGCGGGAGTTTCTCCGCCTTTGCGCTGCGGACCGGTCGGTTGCCATCGTAGAGGTGGACGACAGCCACGAGCGCGCTTCGGCCGAGGAGATCCGGCTCTACGTGCTGGCCATCGCGCCGACCGCGCGGCGGCGTGCAGAGCTGCTCGCCCGGTGGGCCGACCCGTCGCGGCTGGCTGGGAGGGGTGGTGGTGCTGCTGGTGGTGTGCGGCGGCCGCGCTCCTCGTGGAGGCCGCGGGTACAGATCGGCGAGGTGTACACGGCCGACACGCGACAGCGACGATGAGGCGGACGAGGCTGCCCCGCTAAGACTATGTGTGTAGGAAGGTGAAGAAGGAGAAGAACAGTCAGGCTCGGACTGGACACCGCGCGGTATTTACGGTAGATGCAGAAAACGAAAAAAGAAGAGGGGGGATGGCGGTTCTCTCCGGGTTCTCAACGGACGGTGCGGTTTTTCTTTGTTCGCCCTCTCTCCTCTCAGCTCCGAATGCTGCGCCGGCTACCTCGGCCCATGCTGCTGCCCGCGAGGCGGATGCTGTGCGACACCGCGGGCCCCAGCCAGATCGAGGAGTTCCTTCGGCGCGCCTCGCGGCCCAAGATGGGCAAGGCAAAGGCGAAGCAGTCGGCAGGGCAGCGCGCAATCGACCTTACCAAGCACCTGTCCAAGTTTGAGGACATGAGCTACGAGCAGCTGCTGCAGGTGGCGTGCGCACATTGAAAATGCGCTGTCGGGAGGAGGGACTTCTTGGCTCCCCGCACCGCGCAGCCCAGCGAGGGCGGCGCTCGGCCAAGCCACCCGCGCGCGGTACTCGCCGCTGCACGAGAAACCTCTGCGCGCGCCCGCCACCGCAGGCGCGCAAGGTCGACCTCGATCCTCTGGGGCTGCCGTGCCAGGACAGGAAGCGGCTGCTGCGGTTTGTGGACAAGGCGCGACAGGGATGGTTGCACGACGGCAGGGAGGGAGGCAAGCAGTGGAAGGGGTGGGTGCCCCCGGAGCACGCCCGGTCGAGCAGCTGAGAGACTGCGCAGTAGGGTAGTAGTGTTGGAGCGTGAGTATGTGGGCGGCCCCAAAGCCATTTCGCGTGTGCGTGGGCGGCGCGCTCAGAGAGAGAGAGAGAGAGAGAGAGCACCCTCAGAGCAGAGAGTCGAGTGTTCTTCGCGCTTCGGTCGCTGGTCGGTCTCGCTTGTGTCTCGCCGTCTCTTGAGCGTGGAACTGGATATGCGCATGAGGCATGCATGCTATCATGAATAAAAGGTGCCCCACATCCCCTACTTTATGTAGGGGGCGTCAGAGGCTAAACCCGACCGAGGCCGGAGGCTCATCCCCGCCGCCGGCGAGGTCGAGTGACGACCCGAGCGCAAAGAGCGAGGCGTGCGATGCGACGCCGACCATCTTGCGTGGCGTGCTGCTCGCCGCGTCGGCGGGCTGCTCCTTGGCGCGGCCGCGGCCGCTGTATGCGTCGAGTGAGATGTACGACGGCATCCGCCCTCCTTGCATGGGGCCCGCGCCGCCGCCGCCGAGGGAGACGACGTCTGCGTTGGAGTTGGCGCGCGAGGGCCTGCTGTTCCCCATCTCTGCGAGCTGGGCCGACGAGCCGCCGTACGAGGAGCGCGAGTGCTGGCGCATCAGCTTCCCGTGGACGACGCACTGCAGCTCGGCCGCCACCGCGTCGAGAGTGTACTCGATGTCGGTGAGAGAGCGGATGAGCTCGAGGTGAGGCCAGGTGGCTCGCTCGCCGTCGAGGATGTACGCCTAGAAGAGAAGAAGTGTCGGCTCGCGATATATTTCTTTTTTAGGTGCTCGCTCGCCGTCGAGGATGTACGCCTAGTGTCGGTCATGGTTGAGTGAGGACACCGTTGCGTCCTCGAGATAGGGGGAGATATGGGGAGATATGGGGAGATGGTCGAGTGAGGACACCGTTGCGTCCTGTGAACGGCGCCTCGACGTGCCGAGGTGGGAAGTGAGGAGGTGAGACCCAGTCATGACTAACAGCTTGCATGCGCCTCGACGCGCGAGACGGTAAAGTTGGAGAGGAAGGACAGGAGCTCGAGGACGGACCAGCGCGGGTAGATAGTGACGGTGCCCTCGTACTCCTGCAGGAACATGTCGGCGACCTACGTCTGGGGCGATCTCGGGTGATCTCGGGCGATCTCGCTCCGTGCACTCGGGAGCATGTCGGCGGCCCGGAAGCCGAAGGGCCGGATGAGGTGGCCGGAGGCGAACTGGCTTAGGCCGGACAGGGCGCCGAGCAGCTGGTGCTTGAGGCAGAGGAGTGTTTCGGTGACGAGGGGCGGCGCGGGGGCGGGCACGACGAGCGGGGCGACGGGGTTGACTTGCGAGACGATGAACTGGTTGACCTGGGGGGGGGGGGGGGGCAAACAAGGCGTGCGGCCCTCCCCAAAAAAACGTGCGGAAAGCGACACCACCCCCCTGGCTTCCCGTTGAAAAACTCGGTCACCCCCTGCTTGGGGAGGTCGGCCTGCAAGCCGCCGTCCGTCCACCTGCTCACGGCACGTGGCGTGAAGAGGCGCCTTCTTGGAGCCTTCCTGGAACCTTTCTGTCGGGCCTGCTCACGGCACGTGGCGTGAAGCGCCACCTGCCAGGTCAGCTGGCTGCCCGCCCCGCCATCCAGCCACCGGTGTCCGCCCGTCTTGAAGTACGGGACGAGGGCGCCGTGGCGGTCCTTTGCCATCAGCTCGACCGCGTCGTACACGCCGGGGATGGAGCACGACGCGAGCGACGCCGAGTAGACGACCTGTACGACGCGCTCAGAGTTGGTAGGAGAAGACATGGTGCAGCGAGGCCAGAGAGTGTAGCGGACCATCTGCGGCGTCGTGAGGTAGTTGCAGAGCAGCGGCGGCGCGCGGCCATCCGAGCGTGTGACGACGATGTTCAGCACCTGTTCACAGCAGGAGGTGTGAAGAGACGCTGTTCACAGGTCCATCCGAGCGTGTGACGACGATGTTCAGCACCTGTTCACAGCAGGAGGTGTGAAGAGACGCTGTTCACAGGTCCATCCGAGCGCGTGACGACGATGTTCAGCACCTGTTCACAGCAGGAGGTGTGAAGAGACGCTGTTCACAGGTCCATCCGAGCGCGTGACGACGATGTTCAGCACCTGTTCACAGCAGGAGGTGTGAAGAGACGCTGTTCACAGGTCCATCCGAGCGTGTGACGACGATGTTCAGCACCTGTTCACAGCAGGAGGTGTGAAGAGACGCTGTTCACAGGTCCATCCGAGCGCGTGACGACGATGTTCAGCACCTGTTCACAGCAGGAGGTGTGAAGAGACGCTGTTCACAGGTCCATCCGAGCGCGTGACGACGATGTTCAGCACCTGTTCACAGCAGGAGGTGTGAAGAGACGCTGTTCACAGGTCCATCCGAGCGCGTGACGACGATGTTCAGCACCTGTTCACAGCAGGAGGTGTGAAGAGACGCTGTTCACAGGTCCATCCGAGCGCGTGACGACGATGTTCAGCACCTGTTCACAGCAGGAGGTGTGAAGAGACGCTGTTCACAGGTCCATCCGAGCGCGTGACGACGATGTTCAGCACCTGTTCACAGCAGGAGGTGTGAAGAGACGCTGTTCACAGGTCCATCCGAGCGCGTGACGACGATGTTCAGCACCTGTTCACAGCAGGAGGTGTGAAGAGACGCTGTTCACAGGTCCATCCGAGCGCGTGACGACGATGTTCAGCACCTGTTCACAGCAGGAGGTGTGAAGAGACGCTGTTCACAGGTCCATCCGAGCGCGTGACGACGATGTTCAGCACCTGTTCACAGCAGGAGGTGTGAAGAGACGCTGTTCACAGGTCCATCCGAGCGGGTGACGACGATGTTCAGCACCTGTTCACAGCAGGAGGTGTGAAGAGACGCTGTTCACAGGTCCATCCGAGCGTGTGACGACGATGTTCAGCACCTGTTCACAGCAGGAGGTGTGAAGAGACGCTGTTCACAGGTCCATCCGAGCGCGTGACGACGATGTTCAGCACCTGTTCACAGCAGGAGGTGTGAAGAGACGCTGTTCACAGGTCCATCCGAGCGCGTGACGACGATGTTCAGCACCTGTTCACAGCAGGAGGTGTGAAGAGACGCTGTTCACAGGTCCATCCGAGCGCGTGACGACGATGTTCAGCACCTGTTCACAGCAGGAGGTGTGAAGAGACGCTGTTCACAGGTCCATCCGAGCGCGTGACGACGATGTTCAGCACCTGTTCACAGCAGGAGGTGTGAAGAGACGCTGTTCACAGGTCCATCCGAGCGCGTGACGACGATGTTCAGCACCTGTTCACAGCAGGAGGTGTGAAGAGACGCTGTTCACAGGTCCATCCGAGCGTGTGACGACGATGTTCAGCACCTGTTCACAGCAGGAGGTGTGAAGAGACGCTGTTCACAGGTCCATCCGAGCGCGTGACGACGATGTTCAGCACCTGTTCACAGCAGGAGGTGTGAAGAGACGCTGTTCACAGGTCCATCCGAGCGCGTGACGACGATGTTCAGCACCTGTTCACAGCAGGAGGTGTGAAGAGACGCTGTTCACAGGTCCATCCGAGCGCGTGACGACGATGTTCAGCACCCGGCCGGTGCGGTCGAACGCCTCGAGGAAAGTCAAGTCGCCGCACAAGTGACGCAGCGCGTCGCGCAGCACGCCCTGGTCCATCATCACCTTTCCCTGTGCCACATTCTTCAACGGCCTCGCCGCCTCGCGCAGCAAACTCGACGCGCGCGCCGCCGCCTCCCGCGCCGCCGCCGCCGCCGCCTCCGGACCGGCGGCCGGCATCGGCGGCTTCAAGGCCGCAACCTCAGCGCCACTGGCGGAGGAGGCAGCGGCGGTGGTGGCGGCGCCCGCCGCCGCCGCGCCCGCGCACGCGTTTGCGCTGCTGTTGCGGCTGCGGCGAGCGAGGTCGGCGAGGCTTCCGTCGCGGAGAAGCGAGTCGAGGCTCGCCTCGGAGGCGCCTCGCTGCACGCCGAAGAAGGGGAGGGAGGAGAGGAGGGCGACGATGTGCTGCGTCGGGTCCTCAAAGAGCATCTCCTGCAGCTCTTCGTCCGTCTTTGTGCCGCAATACGCAGCGACGATCGAGCCGGCCGATGTGCCAGAGAGGATGCGGGGCATCAGGCTCTCTTTGTGCAGCGCCATCACGACGCCGATGTGCTTGACGCCGAACGCGCCGCCGCCCGAGAGTAGCAGGGCGGTGCGGCCTACGCAACAGGAGAGGAGTGAGCCACAGGAGAGGCACGGCCGAGGCCCGGAGGAGGAGGGCGGTGTTGGCCGTAGGAGTGGCGCGTCTCGTTGACGAAGGCGAGGCGCTGCCGTGCGGCGGAGGACGAGGGCGCCGCGCCAGACGCAATGTACCGCAGCGCCTCGCAGACGTGGGCCTGGTAGTGCGCGATGGCCTCGCGGGCGGTCGAGTGCTCGCGAAGCCACTTTGAGCCTTCGCGCGCGTAGCCGCGGTTGCCGAGCTGCTGCCGCATCAGCTCGGAGCGGAGGTGGAACATGAGGCCGTACTCGTCGCCCTCGGCCTGCAGCCTCGCGTAGTTGGCAGCCCGCTCACGCAGCGTCGCAAAGAAGCTCTCCTGCGGGCCCGAGAGCGCGTCGCCGGCCGGCGGAGCGTCCGACTCGACCTCGCGCGCCGCGACGGAGTACTCGTCGTAGTTCCTCGCCTTGGCGAGCCGCTGCCACGCCACGCTCGAGCCGCGCGCCCACAGCTTGCGCGCGTAGTGCACCAGCGACGCAAGCGCCTGCAGAGCGGTGACGAGCGCCAGCCGCTTGAAGTGCGCGCCAGGCGAGAGGGCAGTGAGCACAAATCTGAGGGCCAATTTTGGCAATTTCTTGAGCAGGCGCACGATCAGCTTCAGTAGCTCAGCCGTCAATAGAGGACCGCCGCCGCCACTCAATAGAGTGCTCATGCTAGCGAACAGCACCGACAAAAAGAATTTACAGCCTCTCGGAACGGGACTGGCGCGCACTGGCACGAACACAGGGACACCACGGGAGCCGCCTAACTCCTGCGAGAACGGCGAGGCACTTAGCTGTGCACTCGAGGGAGGCACTCGACCGCCCCATCCCCCCCCAAATCAAAGAATTTAGGCAAAGAGGGCAGGCACAACACGGATGTCTGCACACTGTGCAGGCTGGCAGCAGACACCGCGCTCACGGCCCACCGGCCCCGCGCGGGAGCGGCACGGTGGGTCGGTGACGGTGTGTCACGGGGAGCGACGTCAAGACACAAGGGCGGGGTTGCGGAAGCGAGCTAGTTTCATGGCCAACGACATACACTGGCAGGGATACTCAATGAAGCACGGCTAACGACGCATCCCAAAGTCACGTGACACGCGGCTACGACGACGCTCCTCTCTCGCTCTATCATGTATCAAGCCCACCTCTGGGCACCCTGAATCCAGACGCTGCTCGCGACTTTGGGCTTTGTTGACGAGCCGCCGTCAACTTGTCGGAGATCAAAGCACACGCGTCCATCCAGCTGCCTCTTCTGCATCGAGTTCTCACGCCTCGTAGCCTCCTCAGCCTCTCTCGCCAACGCCTCTGCTCGGAGCGCTGCTCGGGCAGCGCTCTCGTAGATCACAGCCTCGGCGGAGAGCACAGCCTCAGCGGACACAAAGGGCGAACCTCCGACCATCTTATCGCTCTCATAGCTGTCGCCCAAAGTTGGCTGAGGAAGGGGTGCTCGCACCGGCTGCGGCAACGTCGGCGGCCGACATGATGCTGGTGTCGACGTGAGAAGGAGGGCGAGCGTCTCGCGCTTCTCGCTGTCAGCCAGAGGTCCGATCACAGAAGAGGCGAGCTCCCCGCCCCAGTACATTGCACGGGTCCAACACGGTGGATTTGGTGAGGGCGGTGGCGCACGAGGGGCGTTCGAGGCTCGTACGAGGCTCGTAACACTCTGAGGGTCGTGGAGCGGGGAACAGAGGGTTGTGGGTGCGCCGAGATTGCCCGGGCGGTCAAAAAAGGCTATTTCGGTCCGGTGCTGTCGGAAATCGTAAACAGTAAAGGACTAAGTATGACTTCGCTACAATGTGCGCGCTCCACCTTCCATGACAATGTGCGCGGGACAGACACGGACACAGGAGGAAGGGAGGGTGGCTCCTCTCTCCGTCCGAGAGAGACACGCACACGGGTGAGGGGTGTGGAACACGTTCACACCGGGACGCCTTATCTCTTACAGGTGCCGGTCCTGAGAGAGGTGTCAGCTTAAAGATGCCCTGCAGGCCCCGCTCCAAACAGACCTCGTCGCCCTCTGATTCCATTGGCATCCATGCCTCTCTGGACAGGGTGGCCCGCCACAAGGACCCCAGGAATTGCGACTCGCCGCTTTCCTCCCGCTGTGATTCTGTGCGATTTCTGTGTCTTGTTTTGCCAACACTACACCTACATCTCTGATGGTTTTGTGGCGCTTTGACTGTGTGATGATGATGATATGGTTTGTTGTTTACTGTGTGTGGCCCCGTGCAGGTAGGTGGAGAAAAACAAATGTCTCCACACAAATGTTAACAAATGTGTCTCTCGCTCCAAATGTTTTGGTGATGGCCCCCCTAATATGCCCATGCTGGTTCGCCTGAGACACCCCTCGACTCCCGATCGGACCCCTGATCGCCCGCACGCCAAGGAGGCGGATTCTCCTAGGGAGTGGTATGGTATGAGCAGAGAGTGGTATGGTAAATTACGAAACTCCGTGGAATCATCAAATTTTCGGGATCTGAGCCGAGTCTGAGGCTGGTTTGCGGCCAAATTCAGCCAAATTGGCAAAATACCGGGTATTTTGCGGGTATGTATGTAACTGTAGAGAGGACTCGGTTTAGAGGAGGGCGCGAGTGGGAGAACTTTTCGGCGGTCGTGGAGGGTCGTGGAGTCGTGGAGTGGCGAGTCACGCTCGTGCGGACAGCATCGATGGGAAACCCCGGGTATACCTGGAAAATACCGGGTATTTTGCCGATTTTCCCGATTTTTGTCAGATTTTGCCACCATTTGATTTTTTGGCCGTAGAGTGTTTGATTGTTCTGGGGGGCTATACCAGTAAATCGCCACCCCTGTGCGCAACCCCATCCCCCGTCACGCACCGAGAGGGGCCGCCTGGCCACCGCTGCCACGGCGCCGCACGGACTTCACCCACCTTCGCGACTGTGTGTGGCCATCCATCCAACAGTCTGCCGGCGCGGCGGGCGCATTCGAATGGAATGCGCCGGCCGTGAAAATCGCGCCCTTGTCGTGCCAGCGTGCTGTGAGGGGGCTTTCACGAATTCTTTAGGATTTTAAAATAGTGGGAAAATTCTTTTTGCCATGCTTCCGAGGTCATGTCAATCGCACAAGCAAGCATTGGGTGGGAGCGTGGCGTCCTCTCTCTTTGTTCTCAATTGCCATGACTCTGCCTGGTGTGGGCTGCGCTGCGGCAGAGGATTTGTACACTGATTCGAACGCGGATTTGCAGAACACGGAGCCAGCTGAGGCGGCGTCGACCGCTCCCTTTCTTGTGGCTGACGCGCCGGCTGAGTCCGAGCGCTCGTCACTGCTCGCCCTGATCACCGCGTTGGTGCTTGGGATGGGCGGTGTGTATGTGTACTCCCTCTGCCGATCATCACCCGCCTCCGAAGCGGGGGAGGCGCAGGCGGAAATTGATGGCGAAGCGGGGAAGGCGCACGCAGAAATCGATGGAAGCCTCAGCGAAGCAGCGGCGGCGATGGTGGCAGAGGCGGCGGCTGCGGCAGAGGCGGCGGCGGCGGCTGCAGCCAAGGCGGCAGAGGAGCCGGCGGCGGTCGAGGCAGAGGCTGCGGCGGGTGGAGAGGCCGCAACGGATAAAGTTGCGTTTGAGGCGGCGCGTCTCCTCCTGCACACGAATTTGGACGTTGTAGCTGTGGCCACGGCGGTGGCTGAGAAGGCAGCCGCCGAGGCGGAGGCTGCAGAGGCGGAGGCTGCAGCCGTGGCTAAGGCGGAGGCGGAGGCCGTAGAGGCGGTGAGGGTGGCGGAGGCGGCGGCTGCGGAGGCGGCGAGGGTGGCGGCGGATTGGGCAGCGGCGGCGAGGGTGGCGGCGGGCTGGGCAGCGTCGGCGAGGGCTGCGGAGGCGGCGGCAGCTGCCAAGGCAGCCGAGGAGAAGGCAGCAGCACAGAGAGAGGCCGAGGCGGCCGCATTCTCGGCGAGGGCGGCGGCGGCGGCGGCTGTGGCCAAGGCGGCGGCGGAAGCGGCGGCGGCTGCCGAGGCGGCGTGGTTGGCGGACAAGGATGCGGAGGACGAGGCGGCGGAAGAGGCGGCGGCACAAGAGGACGAGGAGGCTGCAGCGGCCGAAGAGTTGGCCTATGCCACGCGTCTACCTGCCGCGGCGGAAGCGGTGTCACATCCGGCGGCTGCGCACCTTCAGCAGCCCGACGCGCTGATACGGTGGGCGAGGGCGGCGGCCGGGGAGGAAGTGACGGCAGAGGAAGCTGCGGCGGCGGCTGCGGCGGAGGTGGCGGCGGCGGAAGCGGCGGCGGCGGTGGTGGCGGCAGCGGAGGTGGACGCGGCGGAGGTGGCAGCGGAGGCGGCGGCCGCGCGGGAGGAGGCTCAGCAGTATTGGGCGGCGGCGGAGGCGGCGGCGGAGGAGGAGGCGGCGGCGGAGGCGACGGCGGCGGCGGAGGAGGGGGAGGAGGGGGAGGGGACGCTGGCGGCGCTGGCGGAGTCGGAGCCCGCCGAGGAGGTGCGAGGCGGTGCTGGCGAGGCGGCGAGGGCGGCGGTGCGGCCGGTTGCTTTGGACGCGCATCGTGTCGGCCGAGTCGCAACGGATTGGGCTTCTGTGCCATAGGCGGTCGTTCGGATCGTCGGGCACGCCCCTTCGGGCGAGACGAAAGGCTCGCAGCCCGGCTCGCCAAGCTGGGGGCGGCAGCACGTCGTCTACGAGATGCGAGTGGAGGGCGTGCCCGCCGTGGCGCCCGCCGACGGCGCTGCAGCAGCAGGCGGCGGCGCGGCAGAATGCAGCGGCCAGCCAGAGGCGGTGGCGTGGGGGGTGTCGAGGCGCTTCTCGCAGTTCGTGCGTCTGCACGACGAGCTGCTCTGCAGTCACGCGCCCGAAGTGCGCGCGAGCGGGTGCAGGCTTCCCGCCAAGTTCCGCCTCCCGACACTTCTCCCGACGGCCGCCGATCTCGCGGCGGAGGGAGCCGACCGGATGGGGCCGCTGCAGGCGTACCTCGACTGCGTGGTGGCGAGCGAGGCGCTCCGTGCGGCGCCCGCGACACGGCGCTTCCTCGGGGCCGATTAGAGCCCGGAGCGGGCCACGCTGCAGGAGGAGTTAGGTGTGTCCTAGGAGGGGGGGGGGTTGTTGATCGAGCGCGGAGAGAGCGGATCCTCGCGTTCGGCCGTGTCGCCGCGCCCCAAGATGGCGCTAGGCCGCGCGCCGTGCTGTGCGCGAGGCGCGCCGTGTGCGGTTGTGCGCGCGGCGGCGTATGTGTTTGTTACTGCCGAGGTACCGTATTGGCAGCCCCATGAGTACGTATGTGTTAATGTATGAGTATAGTGCGTAGAGCCGTGGACTCTCGACTCTCGTGGACGTGGACATGGACATGGACATGGACATGGACATGGACATGGACATGGACATGGTCCCGCTGCCCTCCTCATTCGGCGGAGGGTCGCCGGCAGATTCGGCGGGAGGCGCTGCTCCTCCGCTGCGCGGTCGCCTCGCCCTCCCCTCGCCCTCCCCCCCCCCCTCCACAAACGCCACACAAACCTACCGTCCTGGATGCGCCTCTTGCCACTCTCGGATCTGCCTGCGCAGCATGTGGTGCGAGAAGAGCCCTGTGTACTCGAGCGCCTCGCCCGTCATCGGGTTCGTCGACTTGGTCGCCAGCTGGCGGCGTACGTCAGCGCGGTGCTGCATCGCTCCTCTGCTTGTTGATATTCGCCCCGCGCCGCAGCAGCAAGTCGACCACCCGCTCGTGGCCGTTGTCGGCGGCACACATCAGCGCGGTCCAGCCGTCGCTGTCCTGCAAGTCGACCTCCGCGCCGCGCTGCAGCAGCAGCTCGACCGCCCGCTCGTGGCCGTTGTTGGCGGCGATCATAAGCACGGTGAAGCCGTCGCTGGCCTGCTTGTTGACATCCGCGCTGCACTGCAGCAGCAGCGGCAGCTCTCGACCGCCCGCTCGTGGCCGTTGTCAGCGGCGTACATCAGCGCGGTCCAGCCGACGCTGTTATGCAAGTCGATCTCTGCGCCGCGCTGCAGCAGCAGCTCGACCACCCGCTCGTGATGGGGAAGTATATATCAGCGCGGTGAGGCCGCCGCTGCTCTGCAGGTTGACATCCGCGCCGCGCCGCGCTGCAGCAGCAGCTCGACCGCCCGCTCTTGGCCTTGGCGGGCGGCGCCCATCACGGTGCTGCCGCTCACATCGCGAGTTGCACGTTGACCCGCCCTTTGCTCTCAAGCCACGCCAACAGCGCCGCCTCATCGCCTCGTCTCGCCGCTGTCCACACCGCTGTCCACGTATGATAGTAAGAAAAGACGTGAAGGGTGGGCCAGCAGAAGAGTATGAAGAAAGGATAGTAACATATGTGCGCTCTTCACTCATCACAGCTCGTCCCGGTCAACGGCGCGCGAGTGCATCGAGAGGATCGAGCCCTCGTTGGCGGCGGAGCCGACCGACCAGGTGGAGAGGAAGGCGCCCGCAGCCTCTATGTCCAGGTGTCCAGTGTAGCCGCCCGCCTCGTCCTCCGACGCGCCCGCCGGCGCGGGCGCGTCCGCCATCTGCAGCGTGCTCGGGTCGATGGAGTGGTCGAAGCGCAGCGCGGCGACGACGGAGCTCGCGTCGCCGCGCGCCTCCTCGGTCGGGTCGAAGAAGACGGCCACCTTGCGCAAGTCGGAAAAGTCGTACATGAGCCGATTCCGCGTCTCGACGGGGGCGCCGCCGCTGTCGGGCGTAAACATGCCTCTCTCCCAGTAGGCGAGCAGCGGCCGCTCGTGCGGATACGCCACAAACTCGCCGACTCCCTGAAACCGGCCCGAGATACCGCCGACGCTGAAGACTGTCGCCTTCCGAATGCTCCACTTTCCGAGGAGGTACTCTCGCAGCTCGCCGCCAGTGCTAGGCCTCGCAAAGCCGGTTGGCGCCGGCCGCTTGTACGACGCCTCGAACTGCGCAAAGGCGTCGTCGTCCGACATGCGCGGCGGCGTGGCTCGCGGCGTCAGGGCGACCAGCGAGAGCGAGAGCAGAGAACTCGACATCGAGATCTATCACCAGAGCAAGCGGGAAGAGGAGCTGGCTCGGAGGTGGGGTCGAAAAAGAATTTCCGCGCGCGGTAAGTATGACAGAAAACGAAGGCAGAAAAAGAAACACCTTGCAGCAGCTCGGCTCTCTGTCGGCGAGGGCGGTCCCCGGTCGCCACCGTTCACGCCTCGCTGCGCCTTTACCGCTACCGCTAGAGGCGCTAGCAGGCCGCCCGCTGTCCCATGGCCATCCCCAAGTGTGGTGACGAGGCCTGCCTCGACGCCGACTGCGACGCGGCGCGCGCTCCGGTCTCGCTCTCGCAGACCGAGAAGGCGACCCTGCTCGGCCTCGTCGCGGAGGCCGACGGCGCGAGCGGGCCGGTCGCCTTCTCGGCGCGCGAGCGGCTGGTGGGTGACTACACAAAGGGCACAAACTTCGGGCGGGACACGCACGAGTCCGCGCTCGGCAGCACCGTGACCAGCGTGCGCCTCTCTGTCGACGAGATTGACTTGCTCGTCTCGCGGCTCGGCTCGTCCGAGTCGCCGCTCGCCTCCTCGCTGGCTGGCAAGCTGACGCTGCTGCGGCTGGCGCTGGCCCCGCCGGCGGAGGAGCCCGACCTGGCCGCGGTGGCTGCCTCGGTCGGCCTCGGCGCCTTGGCCGCAGGAGAGAGGCCGAGCATTGTCCCCGTGACTGTGCTGACGGGATGCCTCGGCGCCGGCAAGACGACGGTCATACGCTCGCTGCTGCGCCAGCTGCCGGAGGGGTACAGCTGCGCGTGGCTCAAGAATGAGTACGGCGACGCTGGTGTGGACCGCGTTGTTGCGCAGGACTCTCGCGTCGAGGTGCGGGAGATAGTCAACGGCTGCTTGTGCTGCACCAAGGTCGGCGAGCTGGCGGACGCCCTCCGCGCGTTGCACGAGCTCAACCCCCACCGCATCCTCGTGGAGGCGAGCGGGTCTGCGATGCCTGGCCCTCTCGTGTGGGAGATCGAGAAGGTCTGCGACATCGTGCGCGTCGACGGCGTCGTGACGGTCGTCGATTGCGCCAACTTCGCGCGCATAAACAACTTCACGCACACCGCAAAGATCCAGGCAAAGTGCACCGACCTGATCCTGCTCAACAAGGTGGAGCTGGCGGGCGAGCGCCTTCTCGACGACGTGCTCGTCAAGAGACGCCGAGATCTGCCCGAGATCCCCCCGAGATCGGCCGATGTCAGCCCGAGGTCTCCCGAGAGGGCGGGCGCTCGGCGCCAGCACGAGCCAAGTGGTTAGCGCAGCTGCTCATACTAGTGGATGACTCACTCATTCATCAGGTGCTCGACGACCTACACGAGCTCGTGCCGGAGGCGCCCAAGGTGCCGACGCGGGGCGAGCGTGCGACCATCGACCCAGCGCTCGTCTTTGGGCTCGACACGGCGCTCTGGCGCAGCAGCGAGGGCGGCGCAGTGCGGCCGGCGAGTCTGGAGGAGGAGGCGCACATGGCGGAGGACGCCGAGTGCTTCCACGCCCTCCCCGACAGGCTGCCAGGCGGGTGGAGCGCGGACCGCACGAGCCTCGAGGCGCTGATGCGTGCGGCGCCGCCAGACGACCTGCACCCGCAGCACGGGAGCGGTTCCCTCTCACTGTGAACGGCGTCTCCTCACACCTCGAGCTGTGAACAGGTACCGCTCCAAGGGAGTGGTGCCTCTCAGCTTCGAGGAGGCGGCGGCGGAGGCGGCGCGGCAGGGCCTCGCGCCGTGCTGGGAGGAGGGGGAGGGCGGCTCCAGGAGACAGCGTCGTGGCTCCTCATCACTGTGGCCAGCGTCTCTTCACACCTCCAGCTGTGAACAGGCTTGGAGACACGTGGTGGCTCTTCAACGGCGTCGCGGGGCGGCTTACCCTCGAGCCGCTGCTGCACACGGCGGGCCCGACCTCGCTCGTCTTCATGGGGCGGAACCTCAAGCAGCGCATGCCAAAGATCGAGGCGGCCCTCCGGCTGCCGGCAGGCACGGTGACCAACGTGTACGCCACGGCGCCGCCCGTGCTCTTTGGGGAGCGGCTCATCACGTGCGGGGTGGCAAAGGGGCTGGCGGCGCCAGAATGAGTGTGCGTGAGATGCGCGCCAGGGGAGGCGGTCAAGGCTCAAGCATGGTGGAACAAAGGAACAAAAATATGCCACCCCACTCCGCCCAGAGGTGAGAGGACAGAAAAAAGAATTGCTTTAGAAGAAAAACGAGCACGCATATTCTCCCCCCGAAACACACAACCACCCCTCGTCCCTGCATGGCCTCGCAGAGGCGCGTCTTCAACTTCATCCCCTCCTCCGCCCCTCCCTCCACGGCACGCGCCCGGAGATCCGTTCAAGGATGGTGCTAACCTCCTAACCACCCCTTCAGCCACTTTCGTAGCCGCAGGCCCGTCTTCCGGCTTCACGTGGAATAGTGTACGGAAGTTGTGGCCGCACCCATATGGCAAGCTGCTAGCGTGGGGAAACGCTCCGTCCCGAGCGACTCGAGAGGGACCCCTACCGCTTGCCAGTGGTGTGTCACTGTTATTGCCCGTTGTTTGGCCATCCGAGCCACCATCCTCAAGGCGCCTCCCTCCATCCCGAGCAGCGCTCCCGCCATTTCCGCTTCCTGCTACTCCAACTAGTCGCATGACGATCGGCCGTCGATCCCGAGGCACGAGGGTCGTCGGTTGGCTCACCACTCACACTTGCTGGGCACCAACCTTTGGGTCCAGATGCCGATCCCTCTACAAACGAGGGAAGAGGGACGCCTCGCGATACTACGGAGGGCCTCGACCAGGACACTTGCTGGTCAGACCACTCCAATCACTACCACAAGTGTCTCGACCCACATACACACTGGATGTGGGCCCTGGTCAGTCCCAGGTCCGGGTGCGGGGTCGCCCACACCAGCACCCAGTCCGCTCTAAAGCCGCCCTTGTCGTCGAGGGAATAGACCCAATCCGGCCCGCCTTTCCCCTCGGTCGGGCGGGCGGGTGTCACCCCATTCAGCTCGTCGAGGACGAGGTCCGCGGCCCGCATCGATGCCAGGTCCTCGTGGCCGACTATGCGCTGCGGCACCACCCCCATCTCGGTCCCCATCACCGTGGACGCGTCCGTGGCTAAGATCAGCGTCGGTCGCTGGGTGTTGCGCAGTTTTTCTCTGTTTGCACCCCGAGCTCTTGCGAGCCGTCGGTCGGCGAGAAGCTCGCAGACGCGCGAGTTAACGACGATGACGTACAAGAGAGCGTGCCTGATAGTCATCGACGGCTGGGGCTCGCGCGACGAGTCGTACGGCAACGCCATCATGGAGGCGGAGACGCCCGTCATGGATGCGTTCAAGGAGGACTCTGACCACTACGGCATCATCGGTGCAGCGGGACTGTATGTCGGCCTGCCAGATGGCACGATGGGCAACTCGGAGGTCGGGCACCTGACAATCGGTGCCGGCGCGGTCGACTACCAGGACCTCGTCAAGATCAACAAATCCATCTCAGAGAAGACTCTCTCGACGAGGCCAGCCCTTGTCGACGCGTGCAAAGCGGCAAACGCTGGCACAGGGCGGCTGCACCTGTGGGGCCTGCTGAGCGACGGCGGCGTGCACAGCCACAACCAGCACATCTACGCGCTCATCGAGGCCATCAAGGGCGAGGGCGTCAAGGAGCTCTTCCTCCACTGCTGCATGGACGGGCGCGACACGGCACGTCTCCTGCAGCGGACGTGCGGCCTTTCCTGGACCCTTCCCAGACGTCGCTGCGCGGATCCTAGGCGCCGACGTCGGGCGGCGGCTACATGAAGGAGCTCGAGGACAAGCTGGCCGAGCTCAACTACGGCAAGGTCGCCTCAGTCATGGGGTGAGAGGCCTCACGCGCTCCGATGACACTTTGTGCCACTCGGCTCCCTCTCTCCCCCGGCGTCGCGGCACAGCCGCCCGTGCGAGGCAGCGGCACGCGGCCAGTGCGACGCCCTCTCTCCCTCTCTGGCACCTCCCGGTCTCCAGCCCCGGAGGTCTCCACCCCGCACCGCCACACGCGCGCCCGCCCCGATCTCCTGCCTCTCCCCTCCCACCAAGGCGGTACTATGCCATGGACCGCGACAAGCGGTGGGAGCGCGTCCAAAAGGCATACGACGTGATGTGCCGCGCGAGCGGGGGGGAGGCGAAGTGGGCGGGCGAGTACGACAAGGAGGTCAAGGCCTACGATGTCGAGGCCGGCAAGGTCAAGGACCTCATCGAAGCGATGCACGGCCAAAACATGACGAGAGCTCCTCGGACCGCCGGCGGAGCCCGCCTTCGCGGAACCTGCTCGGAGCCTTCGTGTAGGGCAAAAGATGACGGACGAGTTCATCGAGCCCACGGGCGCGGCTGCCTGGGCGGCTCTCCGCCCTCCCTGTCGGGGGTCCACCCAGATCCGCCGCGACCTGCCTGTAGGGGTGTGCCCCGGCGGCGGCATCGCGGATGGCGACGTCTTCGTCTGCTTCAACTTTCGCGCGGACCGAGCGAAGGAGATGTTCGAGTGAGCCGCCGCAGCTGCTCGAGTGTCCACGCTCTCCCCTCGCCGACACGCGTCCATTCCACGCCACACGCTTGCCGACACACGCTTGCCGACACCCGCGCCAACATGCTTTGTCACCGCGCCTGCCGACACGCATGCCGACAAGGTTTGCCGTCACGCGCCAGCTTGCACGGTGCCCCGCAGGTGCATCGCGGTGAAGCCGCTCTTCGACTCTGCAGTCGAGCGGAAGCCCGGCAGTGCCGTCTCGAGGAGCAGGCTCTCCGGAGATTGCGATGACCCGAGGCAGCCCGGGGCTAGGCATGACCATCTCGATGACGAAGCTATCGGCGCAGTTTGCAGACCTCGGCATCCCGACCATCTTCCCTCCGGGCTCGTCATCCAACGGGCTGAGCGAGACGGTGTCGAAGCTCGGGCGGACGCAGTGCCGCTCACCCGCACTCTCACGGAGTGGCGACTGACCTCTCGTCCATTCGTAATCAGGCTCACGCAGTACCACTCCGCAGAGACGGAGAAGTTCGCGCACGTCACCTTCTTCTTCAACGGCGGGCGCGAGGCGCCCTTCGAGGGGGAAGTGCGGCAGCTGGAGGACTCGCCCAAGGTGGGGAGATAGGGGGAGATATGGGGGGATATGAGGGGGGAGGTGCGGCAGCTGGAGGACTCGCCCAAGGTGGGCGAGAGAGAGAGAGCGGCCCCAGGCACGACCTTCAACAGATCACTCTCGGCACGCAGTGTCGTCGCCACTGCTCCGGCTAGGTCGCAACCCACCACCTCCCCACATCTCCCCACATCTCCCCACATCTCCCCACATCTCCCCGCATCTCCCCACATCTCCCCACATCTCCCCACATCTCCCCACATCTCCCCACATCTCCCCACATCTCCCCACATCTCCCCCTCCAGGTCGCGACCTACGACCTCGCGCCAAAGATGACGGTCGAGAAGGTCGCCAACAACATGGTGGCCGAGATCGAGGCGGGCAAGCACACCTTCCTCGTCTGCAACCTCGCCGCACCCGACATGGTCGGCCACACCGGCATCTACGAAAAGGCCACAGCCCGACTGACTCCCCCCGATCCCCCACCCTCACCCGCCCCCCCGAACCATGACCATTAGGCTTCTACGACAAGGATGACACTAGAGCCCCACCGCCCAGACGCCCAGACACGCCGCACACGCACATGCACACGCACATGCGCATGCACACGCACATGCACATGCGCATGCACAACAACACGCACATGCGCATGCACATGCAAAACAACATGTGCATGCACATGCACATGTCCTCCACCCGCACCCCCACGCTCTCCCCACAATCGCGCCCCCCCAAGCTGGCCGCGGCTCGAGCCAGCCGCAGCCGCTCCCTTCTAAGGCGATGATTGCAGCCGCGCACACCGACGAGTGCATCGGCAAGATTGCGGCCGCGTGCAAAGAGGCACCCCCCCTCCGCCACCCCCTCCGCCACCCCCCAACCCCCTCCGCGTACCCTCCTCCTCCGAGCGCGTCGCCCCCGACACGCCCCGACATGCTCCCGACACGCCCCGACATGCTCCTGGCGCACCCCGACATGCCTCCGGCGCACCGTGACATGCCTCCGACGCACCGGGTCTGCAGAAGGGCGTCGGCCTCTTCATCACCGCGGACCACGGCAACTGCGAGACGATGCTGACGGAGGAGGGCAAGCCAATGACCTCGCACTCGTGCACGCCGGTCCCCTTCGTCTGCCAGACGGGCGAGAAGAAGGTGAAGCGTTCGGTGGCGGACCGGAAGGACGCGGGCGTCGCCGACATTGCGCCGACGATGCTGACGTACATGGGCATCCCGGTGCCCAAGGAGATGACCGGCGAGTCGTGGATCGACTGAGCGGCGAGCGGCAGGCCGGCGGAGCTATACAGGCGTTGGAGCTATACAGGGGGGCGCCGGCCGCCGCCGACTACAGACAGAGAGCTGTGCTTTGCGAGGGCCTTCGGCCGTTGTGGTGTTACTGCGGGCGCTGGTCGCGGGGCGAGGAGAGAGAGAGAGAGGGCAGAGGAAGCACGCTGCGGGAGAGCGAGAGAGAGAGGGGGCCGTCCCCGATGCGGAGAGCGCGGGCCGGAGTCCGAGTCGCGGAGGAAGGGGGCAGGATTCAGGGGAGCCGGAGAGAGTGCAGGTGTGGATCATGTATCATCATCGCGGATCGGCGCGGGTGGTCGTCTGGTCGGTCGTTGAAGGAGGTGTGCAAAGAGGTGAGGTATTGAGATGAGGAGTTCAGAGAAAAAGTTTTCGTGTGGGCTCCCCGACACTTCCGACGACCGTCGCTCAGCGGCCCGTGTGCGTGTCAGGTGTCACACCCCCACATCTCTCTCGAGTCTCGCATTTCGTGTATATCGGGTATTATCGTGATTCGTGTATCTCGACGAATTAAATCGGCGAGGGCGGGAAAACAAAAAACACGTACCGGCGCCTTCGGAACTGTCAACTGAGTACACGTAGAGTTTGTAGAGTAGCGGCGCGGACCGGGCGGTGCGTGCTGTTTCGAGCTGCAACTCGCTGCCGCAGCCGCGACAGTGCCCGCCCAGTGAAGAGCACGCGGCACATGACTAGGCCGATCTCAGGGTCGCCCGCCCGTGTCACAACAACAACATGTACATGTCGTCGAGGATCACGCGCTGCCGCGCCTCGAAGTTGGCCTCCGAGATGAGCCCCTCCTCGTGGAGGCTCTTGAGCTCCACCAGCCGCTCGCGCACGCTCCGCTCCACGCGAGGCCGCTGCGCCGGCCGCGCCTCCGCCTCGCTGCCGCCCGCCTCGCCGCTCGGCCCGTCGACGTCGATCGCGTTCGCGCGGCCCTCCGCATCCTTCTCCTCGCGCGAGCGCACGCCGGTGATCTCGACCTGTGACGACTCCTCCTGCGAGCTGGAAGGTGGCTGCTGCGAGTCGTCCTCGTCGAGGTCGTGCGCAGCCTCCTGGCTGCCGCCGGCCAGCTCGGCGGTCTTGTTGAGCCGCCGCCGCTGCGCCGGCGGAGCGCGCACGGCGGGCTCTTCGCTGAAGCTCCAGCCGTCGCCGGTGGGCCCCTCCCTCCGACCGCGCGGAGGGCGATCAGACTCAAAGTCGTCGCCGTCGCCGCCGTCCTTCGCTTCGTCGAAGAGCTGCTGGGCGTTCGTCCGCCTCTGGGGGCCGCGGAGGTCGGAGAGGGTGGTCTGGCGCCCTCCGTAGCTGTGGGGCGGAGGCGGCCTCGGCTTGGCGCGCGCGGGCTGCTTCCCGCTGCTGGCCGCCGCGAGCTGCCGCGATGCGGCGCTGGAGCCGCCGCCGCGGCTCGCGGCAGTGCCGCGGCTCGTGGCAGCTCGCTCATCGCACCGGGCAGCAGCAGAGGCTCGGGCAGCGGCGCCGGCGCCAGAAGCGCTGCTTGCTCCAGCGTCGGAAGCGCTGCTGCCACCGAGCTTGCCGTTCCGGAAGGTGACCCTCGGCTTGAGCCGCGGCACCGCCTTGACCACCGCGGTGAATTCCCCGTCGTTTTGGAACTTGAGGCAGAGGTAGCCCTTGGGCGAGCCTGCAACAGACGGGCGGGCAGGAAGTGGGCCGCGTGTGGCGGATAGCGAGCTGGTGCTCGACGAGGCGAGGCGCAGCACGGAGTTCCAGTTCCTGTGGCTGCCCAATGTCACGCGCGCCAGAGGGCGACGCCGGCGCGCATCATCGACCGGAGCGTGTTGCAAGGTGTGTGGCAGGGACGCACCGGGGTTGGAAAAGGAGTCGTACCAGTGGTTGAGCGCGTCCATCGGCACCTCCACCATCCCGCGGATCTTGAGCACCTTGCTCTTCTTGTCAAAGATCGCAGACGTGATGCTCGACGTCCGCAGCTTGAGGGTGACAAAGCCGACGCCCGGCACCTCCCGCTGAGTGGTCCAGCTGAAGAGCTCCACTCCGAAGGTGATCGTGGCCTCGCCGGATTGCCACCTCCCGACCATGATCTCCGTTATCCACTGCTTGACCACCGGTGCCTTTTGCTTGACGCCGTGAGTGCGGCATTCGATCGCGCCAAGCAAGGGCAAAGAAGAAATGCCACGAAGCGGGGCCAAAAGGCGCCTGGAGCGACCGCGGTCCGGTCGCGCCACCGCGGCTGCGGGGCTGATAGAGCAGGCCGGCTGCGGCTCCTGATGTACCTCCGCTTTGGGGTGCCGGTCGCGCGCTGCCGACGGCGCTCGCCGGCGCTACGGCGCTCGCGGCGCGCTCGTGGCGTTCAGGGCGGCTCGCACACGCACACGCACACGCACACACACACACGCACACACACACACACACACACACATGCACAGACACACAGCCCCTTCCCCTCCCCCCTCAAGGGCGAGGACACGCACAGGCCGCACCTCTAGTGAGGCCCGCATAGTATGTGGGAGACTCGTGCCGCCGCCCCTGCCACCCCTGTGTCAGTGTGCCTGTGGTACTCTGCTGGAGGAATGGTTGGGCAGGTTACTCAGGACGCGATCCCGGCGTGAACACGCCGATCTGACAAAATCCCGAGTGCCTACCGCACGCGCCGCGTCGCGGCGCGTGCGGTTGGCTTTGTTTGAAGTAAAAGGTCAAATCAGAGCAGTGTCGGCGTTGTCCTGAGTTTTCCTCCCACGGACCGCCCGTCCGGCACCGCTCCGGGACGCACGCCGGCGAAGCACCATCAAGCTGCTGTACGGCCCCGGCATCGCCTCCCCTGGCTTAGCTAGACTGAGAGATATTGTGCACATGGTCAGTCTCTACAATGTATACACTGACACTGAACCTCCCAGAGCTCGTCCCGGTCCGCCACGGCCATCCTCGGCCTCCGGAGGGCCCCCGGCCGCGGCGCGGTGCGGCGGCGTCACAAATCCGACAGAGCACCGGGACGCGGTCGGGCGATCTGAGGCCCAACTAGGCGTATGCATTGCCCATCCAGGGCTATCACCTGGACCCATCAACAGGCGCCTGCGGCGCCGTGGTCACGAGGTGTTGTTCACACCTGCCCAACCATTCATGCAGCACAGTAGGAGAGACTGCCAGCGACAAGCTGGAGGCAGGTCGCTAGACTGAGATGAGACCGCCAGTGGATGTGGGAGTCCACCGCGCACCGCGCTGCGAGCCTGTCGTGTCCCTTGTCAGGAGCAGGAGAGCCCCACCTGTCCCCCTGATCGTTCTTCCAAAACCCTGCTCGTGCAGGTGGGGACCCTGTCCTCGTCCCATCCCTCGTTTGGCGTGTCTGTTTTCTTTCTTTCTTTCTTAGGTGGCCCTGAGTTATGTGTACGCCTACTCAGGGTGTGTGGCAGCCCGCTGGCTGTGTGTCTTGTGAGCCTGTTTGTGTCTGTGCGTCGCTCGTGCGTGCCGTCATCATCTGTCCAGCGTCCACCCATACCGCGTTGGTGTCCAGTCCGAGCCTGGCTGTTCTTCACCTTCCTACATACGTACATACCTTGTGCAAAGAAGAATTTCAGGAAAAGAAAGAAAGAAAACAGACAACCCAAGGCGCAAGGGAGGGATGGGAGGACGGCACGCCGCCACCACACATGAGGGGTGCGAAGCGCGAAGAAGAATTTTTACAGGCGTAAGAAAAATGGGGTCGTCGATCAGCACAGCTCAAGCGCGCTGTTGCTGCCCGAGTTGCGGTCACATCCCGTAATCTTCGATCTTCGACCAACTCGACCGCGGAGAGGCTGTGGGCTTGGCCGGCGGCGCGACGCGTGGCCTCTGCCGCGGCCATCTCGGACATACACACATGTGTTGTGTGCCGCCTTGCCGAAAACAAGAAACTCAAGTAGGTTCCCCGCCCGCCTCCCCAGCTAAAAACGCAAGTACGCAACGCCGAAGGGTCGAGCCGCGCTGCCAGCATGATCACCCTGGACGACGACGCACAACGGCTGCCGCGAAACCCTTGCCGGCGGCTCAGGCGTGCGCTCATCACAGCCCTCTCCGATCCGCAGCCTCTGCCGCCGCGGAGGCGGCCGACGTCACGTCTCTCGGAGCCCAAGGCCGATCGTTGCGAGTCGGACGTGCTTCGTGACTCTCGCGTGAGCGCCCGCAAGGCGACGTACCTCGTCCTGAGCGGCGCCAACACCGCGGCCCGCCGCTTCGAGACCTTCCTCATAGCTCTCGTCATCACCAACGTCGTGCTGGTCATCATCGACTCGGATCCGTACGTCGGTACGGGGCAGGGCACGGCCTTCCGCGTCGGCTACATGGCCTTCGAGCTCTTCTCCCTCCTCGTCTTCATCGCCGAGTACGCGGCACGCCTCTGGTCCTGCGTCGAGTCGCCGGGAGGACCCGTCGCCTGCTGCGGCTGGAACGCTCGCCTGCGCTGGCGGCTCGCGTACGCGTCGACGCCGCTCGCGATCATCGACCTCGCATCGATCCCGCCTTTCGCCTTTGACTTGATCTTTGAGAAGGACGACCGGATGCGCGGCATCTCTCTCATCCGCACTCTCCGCATCATCTCGCTCCTCCGCCTCGAGCGCTCCTTCCGCTCCTTCGCTCGCGTTCTCACAGTGCTCGGCAACCAGCGCTCGGAGCTCGGCGTCGCCGCCTTCGTCGCCGCCATCCTGCTCCTGATGTCGGCGGCAACCATCTACTACCTCGAGAACCCCGCACAGCCCGAACACTTCCGCTCCATCTTCTCGTCGATGTGGTGGGCCGTCACCGCACTCACCACGGTGGTTGCAATAGTCGCAGCAGCAGCGGATGTAGCAGCGGCACGATGTAGCAGCGGCAGCAGCGGCAGCAGTATGCGAGCCGCCGCCGCCGCCGCCGCCGCCGCCGCAGCAGCAGCAGCAGAAGCAGCCGCCGCCGCCGCCGCCGCAGCAGCAGCAGCCGGGCCCGGCCCGGCTGTGACGGGCGGGCTCCTGCCGTGTCAGGTTGGGTACGGCGACGTGTACCCGGTCACCACCGCGGGAAAGATGTTCGGATCCGTGGTGGCATTCCTCGGCGTCGGCTTCTTCGCGCTCCCCGCGGGCACCGTCTCGGATCTCGGCGCATCTCGGATCTCGGCGCATCTCGGCGCATCCACTCTCGGGTACTCTCGGGTCAGGCATCGTCGGCTCGGGCTTCATGGAGCTCGTGCTGCGCGAGAAGCAGGAGAGGGAGACGCGGCGCGCCCACGAGCTCCGGCGGAGGGCGATCGAGCGGCGGCGGCGGAGGGCGCGGGGGGCCGGTCACGGCCGCCTCGCCGAGGGAGAGAGAGGCAGACGGGCCGGAGGGGCCGGGGGAGGGGGCGCGGCCGGCGGCGGGGGCGGGCGCGAGGGCGGGCGAGGCGAGGTCGAGGATTGCGACCGGGAGCACGACCATGAGGAGGAGCAGGAGGAGGAGGAGGAGGACGGCTCGTCGCGTGATGAGCTCGAGACGATCCAGGCGGCGCTGCGGGCGCTGAGGCGAGAGCAGCACGCGCTCGCAGCGGCGCTGCTGGAGGAGCGCGCGTCGCTCCTCCAGCAGCAGCACAGGCAGCGGTCGAGCGGCAGCGGGTGGTGGGACCAGGCAGCGGCCGCCGGCGAGAGCGTGCCGGCGGGAGAGCCTCCTAGGTACGAAGCTCGTTCGCTCTGACAGAGTGACACACACTTCAATAATCGGGCCTTCTGTCTAGAGAAATTCGCCTCGAGCTCTCTCTCGCCCGTGTGAGTTGAGTGTTCTCGAGAGAGTTGCACCATGCACGGTCTCGGTGTGTGCCGAGCGTATATACGTACGTAGTACGGCTCTCTACTAATGGCCATTTTTTGCACAGGGTCTCAGATATTGCATATTCACAAAAACGACCTACGGGTCCTAGCTCTGCTGCAATGCTCTACACTCCTACACACGTATCCTTTGGCGGCGTCGTCTCCTCCGGCCGACACTCCCGTCCTGGTCGCCCGCGAGCAGAACATGCTGCGGCCAATCGCCCTGCTGCGGCGTCGTCTCGAATCTAGAGTAGACAAAGCGGGTCGCGTAGGGCGAGCCGACCTCATACTGGGCGGCCTCGCCTTCGATGGCGCCCTCGGCCATCGCCGTGGTGCGGAAGTGGCCCGAGTGAGGGTAGGCGTCCACCTTACCGTGCCGCGGCTCCGTCGACGAGAAGGACTGCCCAAAGATGCCGTGCGGCAGGAAGCGCGCGGCGTAGTCGCCCTTGACGCGAAAGCCAATATCAAGTCGGTGTTCTGGCCCCGCGATGAGGTTGTAGACGGGCGAGGCCTTGACGGTGACCGTCCAGTTGCCTGCCTCGAAGCTGGCGGTGGACATGTGCACGCTGACAGTCAGCTCCTCGCACCGCTTGGACTTGCCCTTGCCGATCCGCACGCGCCGGCCATCGCAGGTGCCATTGATGACCTTGTAGCCCCAGTTGTTCTCTGTGAGCTCCGACGCCCAAAAGGAGAAGTTGGCCCACGCCGGGCGGTCTGGAGGGCCGACGCGCGCCACCACATGCGCCTCGGTAATGAAGGAGCCCTCCACCGTCAGCGTCGCGCCGTCGTTTTGCCGCAGCTCAAACGTTGCATCCTCGGGCTTGAGGTTGACCGCGAGGCCGGGCGCCGAGAAGAAGGAGTAGTACTGGCCGTGCTTGCCTCGAAAATCGGCGCGCCCGCCGTGCGCAAAGTGGAGATGGGGATCCTTCTCGATCGCGGGGGGTGGGGGCGGGGTGGGTGGGGAATGTGGATTGATGGGATCTTGACCGACCACGACTGCGATCGAGAATCCCTGTGCGCCGCCGGCCACGCCGGGTAGACACTTCGGGTCGGTCACTTCGACTGCGTCGGCCACTGCTTGCGCGCCGATGAAGAACGCACCTTTCGTTTCCGGGAATCGAGGTCCGAGCGGTTGAAAATTAGGGTTTGTGACAGTGTGGTTCCAGAGTTTGGATTCATCTGGATAGCCAATCACTCTTGCGCGGATGTCGGCCAGACAAATCGAGCCCATCGATTCGTAGGGGGGCAGAACGATCCCACCGTTGATGGAGGACAATCCACTTTGAAAGCTTTGAATTGAGCCATTAACCTTGAGCCTGATGGTCCCGTCGCTGCCGAGGTTAGGTACTTTAATGGCCCCGTCGCTGCCGAGGAGGTTCACGACGGTGACGTCTCGTCGCGTGCTAATATTGAGCACCTCGAGCACTCCTTGGTACGAAGCCGGCTGAAAAGAAAGGGTGGGCGGAATTTGCGTTGCGGTGAGATATACAATAATCTCCGACTGGTTGACCAGCTCCGCATCCACGTGCACAGCATCGTAACAAGATGGCGCTGTATCACCGGGCGATGAGCGCGGTGCGCTCGGAGGGCGAGGGCCGCCGGCATCCGCGTCCCTGGCGGGTATGGGTTCGTTTCTCGACGAAGTGTCGCACCGCGATGGAAGCAGCGAGTCATTGTCGATGCAGATCTGCACATCCACGATGGAGCCATATTTGAGCGCATCGGGCGTGCAGTACGTGTTGCTTTGCTCAGCGTCGCCGAGAGTATTGGTGCACACGTAGGGCTTTACTGTGGCCGCGGCAGTGCAGGAGCAACGGCCCCGCTCGATGCCATCTCCACAGGGGTTTTGCTCGTAAGGCATTGTGCCAGGCAGTCGCTTTCCCGTCGTGTACACCTGACATCGCTTGGGTGGGGAAGCGCCCCTCTCCTCTTTTAGGTTACAATCGGCCCATGACATTTTGCAGTCGATCAGGTAGGTCTCGCACGGCTCCATGAATGACACATATCCGTCCGCGTTCTTGCAACGGTTCTCACGGCAGACAGGCCCGTCACAACCGGGCTCTGGACAATCGCACTTGTTTCTCATGTTAGTCAGCCCAAAGTATTGCCCGAACGGATGAAAGCCGTACGGTGGCGAAATGTACTCGTTGCCGCTGATGGTGAATGATTTGTTTTTAAGTATGGGAATGTCTGTCTCGGCAAAGTAGTCCAAATGGACCTCCACGTCTCCTGACGTTGCACCTTCGCACAAGTACTTTCCGAGGTCAACCACTTCGCAGCCTCCGGCCCCCTCACTGCGTCCCCCCAAGTCAGTTGCGATGGCTCGCTGGACATCAGTGCATTTTACCCAGCCTGGGACTGATTTCAGAGCCTGTCCTCTCGACGGTGGTTGGTAGGACGTTATTGCGCTGACGGTGCCGCGTTCGGCGGGACCAGCAATCGGTGGGGCAGTGGGAGCTATTGGCAGTTGGGACACAGCGACCACCCGCCCCGCGGTCTCCACCGGTCTCTCTGCTGGCGTGGCCTCCTCCTCAAGCACCCGCTCCTCTCCAAGCAGCCTGCCCTGCAGCTGCGTGACGCCAACTTCCGGAACGGCCCGCTCCTCTCCAAGCAGCCTGCCCTGCAGCTGCGTGACGCCAACTTCCGGAACGGCTTCGCGCAGCCGAGGACACACAAGTGCGATTGACAGCGCTACTGCCAGCGTCGCTGATATGAAGCGCTGACGCCGCAGCTCAACCTTCAACTGCGGGCGAGCGTCGTCGTCGCCCTGCATAGCGCTAAGGCGGTGCGCGTAGCGGAGAAAGCCAGAGAGTTGTCGGTGACCAGAACGGCGCAACGCCGGCCTACGTCCATGAATGAAATCCGTCTCGCTGAGCGCGGGGGCTACGTGGTACGACGCCTTCACACTCAACCCAACTCCCAACAGCGGGTTTGTCGCGAGTTGGTGATTGTGTCCACCGCGCGATTCACCTATCTTTCTTGTTTCTACTTTTTCGTTTTGAATTCTAAAGAAAGAAAGAAAGAAAGAAGGCGGACAACCCAAGGGAGGGATGGGAGGACGGCACGCCGCCACCACTTTTGAATTCTACGGAGCTTCTCTCTCCGCTCGGAGCTTTTTACTTTGGCTAGTTCCATTTCACTGTGGCACAGCTCGCGTTACAAACCTTGATTTGACCATTTGCGCAAAAAGGTACATCGCGGTGCCTTCCAGAGGCAGCTGCGATCCCGCCGAGTGGACGGTTGCACACAGCAGGTAGCAGCTGCGATCGCCCCGAGTGGACGGTTGCACACAGCAGGTGGCGCGGTGTGCGCCCGTTCACTCGGCGGGGTCGCAGCTGCCTCTGCGCGTCCTGGGGATGTACCTTTGTCGCGCGCCGGAGACGACTCGACGCCGCTGAGATCGGAGATCAAGCTCTGACAGGTCGCACGTCGCTCCTTTGACGCCGACGTGACTCACCCGTGCAGATCACATCAGGACACGGTCTCGACACGCTCGGTACGACGCCTGCGACCCGTCTTGGGTCAGGTGGCACGACGCTCATCTCGCCCGCCAGCGCTGCCATGCAGGCTGCCACGACGAGGTCGAGCACGCTTCTATACGCTCGCCCAGCCTTCCTTTCCATCCCATTAGGCAGCCTGGGAACGGTGGCGGTCAGAGGCAAAGCCTGCGAGGGGTGGTGGAACCACATGTCACGGCTACCGCCGGCTCGACCCCACGATAGCCTCCGGAGGCTGACTTTGAGGCACCATCATCGGACGACGTCGGCGAGTTGAGTCGCGCTCGCGGTAGCCAGATGACCTCTCATACTAGTATCATCGGCCATGGCCGCAGGAAGCGCGGGGGATTCCGCTGGGAGCAACACGGAGCTCCGTTGGACGCGTTTTCAAGATTAGCGTGTGGCAGAGTGAATTGGAACTAGCCTTTCACCAAAACACAAGTTATTTTAGCTAATACTAATTCAGATACGACTGTAACTGCCACGACCACCCCACGTGCCACACAAAAACCATCAAACCCACTCCCGACAACAACAACGTATCTCAAACGACGAGGGGGTGAACTTCTCCGGTGCGGTGGGCGTGCTCGTTGCGGAAGCCGAAGGATCTGAGCAGATCTGAGCCGCTGCACCGCCGGCCGGAGTTTGACCGGAGTGCAGCGGTCTTAGCAGCGCACGACGCCCTCCCGCAGCTTGCCCCAGACCAAGCCGGCAATCTTGCCCAAGCTCAGCTCGCCTCGGTACATCTCAGTCGTCAGGCAATTCTTCTTGCCATAGGTGCACACAAACGCGAGGCTCTCGAGGGCCATCGCCCACTCGGACGCGAGGTTTGGCCCGAAGTTGCGCACCCCCGCAACGCAGTACAGCCCGGCGCCCGCCGCCGCGTCCATCTCCTCCTTTGACGGCGGCCTCTCCGTCTCGCGCAGCATCGGCGGCACCGCGCCGTGGACGAGGGCGCCGCCACCGCGCGCGAGTCCGACGCCGCCGAGTAGGAGGAGGAGCGCGAGGCGGCCGAATCCAAGCATCCAGAAGAGCGGGCTGAGTAGGTGGAGCCCGACGCCGAACATGCGCGCCAGCAAGATGGAGCGGTGCGCACCGCTCAGACTCGGCATCGCACCGCGGCTGCTCGGAGCAGGCTTGGCGCGCCAAGAGTCGGGGAGGGGCGGCGAGGTGGTGGTGGCGGCGGCGGCGGCCGGCCGCTGCCGGGCCTCGCGCTCCTTGGCCAGCGCGCGCAGGTCGGAGGCATCCATCGGCGCGCTCGCCCGCGGCGCGCTCTGGGCAGACGGGGGGGGTGGAACCCCCGGGGGAAACCCCCCAAGAATTTTACAACGAAACTCGCACGTCACTGGAGAATTCTTCAACGTCAAGCCTCTCTCACAGCACACTGACACCCTCCATAAAAACGGTATGTCGGTGGAGTGCTCTCTACTCCCGCGGCGCCCCTGAGCCCTGTCGGTTCGGACGGTAGGGTGCCCACAGGGCCCAAAAAAAGAAAATAAAAAAGAAATCGGCCACCCCAGATCGCAGCACTTCGTGTTGGCCAGTCGAGATATTGAGAGTGTGACTAGGAGGGAGGGACGCTGGGGATTCTCAAAGGTATACCCTTGGAATGGCCGGATCCAGCCTTAAAAGTACGAGATCGCGCGCGCTTCACGCACAGCACCGCCTGTTCTCCGCGCGGCTGTGTGACGACGCGTGCCGTGTACCAGGAGAGTTGGGCGCGCGCGGCGCGACGGCGCCCGCGAGGGAAGGCGCGGGTGCAGCGGCCGCCGGCGGCCGTACCGCCCGCCAGCCGGCGCAGCAGCGGCCAGCGCAGCGGCCGCCGGCGCAGCAGCCAGACCAGCCGGTGCGCGCCTTGCGAGGCGAGTACTGCCGCCCGGCAGCCTTGAGGCGGCCGGGCGGCAGTACTCGTTCGAACTTTGCGAGCCGTGCGCGCGCCGAGGCGCCCGCGGCGCGCGCCCGCCCGGCTGCCAGTAGGAGGCGGCGCAATATGGCCATAGTACAGCCCTTGGGGAGGAGGAAGAGGCTGGCTGGCAGTGCTGTATGCCGCCGAGGGGCAGTTTTGGGGTGCTGTCCCCATCCCACGGGGCTGCAGAAGGCGTCCGCAGCCGGGACAACCCGCCCCCCCAGCCGAGGCCGGTCGAAGCCCACTTGCAAGCAGCCATGAGGAGTCCTCTTGGTGCTCCTGGCGGCCGTTGGAATGGCGAGCGCGCGCCGATGGGGGGGGGGGGGGTCTTGCTTGCTCCACACCGAGCGCCATCGGTCCGGACCGGTGCACTCACCGAGGGTCGGCTTGCACAAGGTCTGAGCCGCGGGCGCTCGGCGCCAAGTGCAGTGTCACGCTCGCGCTGGAGCGGGACACAATGGGGAACCCTCGTTTCCTAGTCACTCGGTCCCCCAACGGAAGACGCCTCGCTCCTATTGGAACAAGCCAACATCAGATTTGCCTCGTGCGTCCCTTTTTGAGCGTAAAAGCTATTTTCTTTTGGGTCCTGTGGGCACCCTACGGACGGAGGCGCCCGGCGGCCGCGCGCTTGGTGCCGACGTCGACCGGCTGCTCTCGCGGCGCCGCTTTGGTCACGTCACGCGCGCTGCGAGGTGTCTTTTGGCATGTGAGCGCTTGGCATAGACGCCAGGATGCTTGGCTTCCACGCCTGCGGCCGCGGGCGAGCGGGTGGGCACGCCAGGCTCGGCGAAGCTCTGCGCGGGTCTTCGAGCTCGCAGCCCGCGACGAGCCAGCATGGCTCGTCGCTCGACGGCAGCCTGCTCAGAATGCTCTCGGCGTTCTGGACAGCCTCGCCAAGCTCTCTGGGAAGGTCTACAGGGCCAGAGCGGCCTGACTCGGGCGCGATGGCGAGCTTAGTGGTACCACGACTACCAGCTCTCCGATCGGGCCGCCGGCAGCGGGCTTGCGCGGCGCGCCGCTCGACGGCAGGCTGCTCCCCACCCTTAACAGCATCTTCTGCCTCGCTTCTCTCGCTACGACCGCCTCCGGGGGCCTGCGCCGACCGCCTCGCTTCGCCAGCGCTTCGCCTACGATTGCGGCACGCACGTCGGCTCGCGGCCCGCGTCGCCCGCGGCGCGGGCCCGCATAGCGCGCCGCTCGTCGGGGGAGTGCCAAGGAGGTTGTGGAGTGCAGGCTGCCTCGCTCAGACCGCCGCCGACGCGGCGCGGGGCCGCCGTCGGCGCTGCTGCGGGGCTCCTGCGCTGTGGGCTTCACCATCGTGTCCTGACTGCGTCGCCGACGCCACCGATTCCCCCGTGTTTGTAGCCTGGCGTTTGTGCCCCGTTTGTGCCGCGTCCCGTGCCCGCGAGTTCATTTACAAATAAATAAAACGGACCCACCAAACAAGGGGTGGGAGAAGGACAGGGTCCCCACCTGCACGAGCAGGATCTTGTAAGGACGATCAGGGACACAGGGGAACGGGAGCGGGGAGCGCATCGCGACGGAGGGGGGCTGGGCAGACCCACCCGACCGCGAGACCCAAAGCACGACGAATTCTTTTCGCCCCCCTCGCCGTCTGTTTCCCGCCGTACTCGAGTATGTGGTGTGCGGTGCGCGCACGCGCTGCGCACACAGCAGCCTCCCCACCCCCCTACCCACCCCGTCGCGCCGCCGCCGCCGCCCCCGCCCCAGCCGCCCCCGCTGTAGCGTTTGGGGGGGCGACTGGCGACGGCAAAAATGCAAGCCCCGCCCCTGGCCACTGTTAAGAAAGAAAGAAAGAAAGAAAACAGACACGCCAAACGAGGGATGGGACGAGGACAGGGTCCCCACCTGCACGAGCAGGATTTTGGAAGAACGATCAGGGGGACAGGTGGGGCTCTCCTGCTCCTGACAAGGGACACGACAGGCTCGCAGCGCGGTGCGCGGTGGACTCCCACATCCACTGTTAAACACACGCACGACCGGAAATACTCGCTTAGTGTGGGTAAACCATAGTACCGTATACGGTACTATGAACAGAGAAGCCCATAAAAGTCGCCGCGGCAGTCCACGCCGAGCCGGCCTGCTGCCGGCTTGCACGGCAGCCTTTTCCTCTCGACCAGCCTCAACTTCCGTACAGTCAACATTTTGTCGCTGCGTGCTCGTGGCGAGCTGTGGCGGCGGTCGAAGTTGGCCCAGATTCGACGACGAGCGCCGGACGATAGTACCGCCTCTGTTCGCCCTGTGCATGTCAGACCAGGCTGCAGCAGGGCACTACCATCGTGCTGCCCTGCTGCAGCCTGACCCTGCCCACTGTGCACAGCCGCCAGAGCACCACCACCGCCCGGCATCGTGTCACGGCGAGCTCCTTCTGCGCCCGCTCGCGAGGCTCTCGCGCTGGCACACTTTGGCCATCTGCTGCTCGCGTTCGGCGAGCTCTTCTCCGCAATCCTGCCACGGTGCCGCCACCACACACCTTCTGGCCGGCCTGAGCCGCGCGGACTCGCCGGCGGGGGCAACGTGTCGACCTCTCTCTCTGGTGCACCACGGGCCGCGACGGCCTGCGAGCAGCTGGCGCGAGGAGGCAGTGTGCCGGCACAGTCGAGCCGGAGCATCGGGTTCTTGATGCTTGTGGGGTCGAGTTTGACCTTATGTGGCATAATATGCAACAATAAGGCTATGCTCTCACCCAGCCTTTTGAGATATGATCCCTCAAAGTCGAATTATGGTTTACTGGTGACCATAGTACCGTCGTGTCTTGTTCGCGTTTCTTCCACGAATACTTTAAAGTCTCGACAATCACTAAGCTGCTTATGTGGCACCGCAGAGGCTCCCTTGGGGATGCCTGAGGCCACCCCAACCACTCACCAAGCCTTACGTGGACGAATTCAAACCTACTTTTATGGTTTACCCACACACTGCCAGTACACATTCTTTTCGACCTGTGTTAGTGCCAGTGCGCGCCAGTCCCGTGCCCAGTGTAAAGAAAGAAATAAAACGCACAACCCAAGGGAGGGATGGGAGAACGGCACGCCGCCACCACACAGGGATTTTAAGGAGAGGAGTGTGGTGCGCTAGCCGTCGCCCACCCTGGGGAGTCTGCCTCTTCGTATCTCTTTTCGCAGTCTCTCGCCGCTTCTCGCTGCAACCTTCATGCCACCTCGCGGCCGTCCCACTCTCGTCGGTCTCTCCCTTGTCACTTCCTCCTCTGTCGCGTCGTTCTCTTCTGCCTCGTCCTGCGACGCCGCCGCCTGCCGGTCCCTTGTTCTCGCGGCTTCTTTCGCCTTTCGGCGCAGCTCCGCCCTCCTTGCTGCGTATCCTGGCCCCTCGAGTCTATCAAGCTCCCCTCGCGCAAGGACCACATTTCTGACTCCCACTCCGATCATTTGCCTACACGTCATGTTGTTGCTCAGGTCCACTCTCTCTTCGAACACTCGTGCCTCTACGGATGATGCCGGCGCTGGGGTCCCCTTCGGATGCATCGTGACATCTGACAACTGAATTTCCACTGGTTCGTCCTCCTCTGAGTCATCTTCCCCGTCGTGTAAAAGAAAGAAAGAAAGAAAACAGACAACCCAAGGGAGGGATGGGAGAACGGCACGCCGCCACCACACAGGGATTTTAAGGCCTTCCCCGTCGTGTAAAGAAAGAAAGAAAGAAAACACACAACCCAAGGGAGTAAGAAAGAAAGAAAGAAAACACACAACCCAAGGGAGGGATGGGAGAACGGCACGCCGCCACCACACAGGGATTTTAAGGAGAGGAGGGTGTGATGCGCTAGCCGTCGCCCACCCTGGGGGGTCTGCCAACCCAAGGGAGTGTATAAATAAATTCTTGCATTTTTGCTCCCGGCTGGAGCAAGCAAGCCCACTCAACCCCAAGTACTCACCGTTTTACAGTGGTGTTTTTGTCGCATCGGCTGCAGCCTCTGCTGGGGCGGAACGCGCGGGGTTTTCGGCGCGATGCCCTCGGCGAGTACACGCTACAGCACCGCCGCAAGCTCTCCTGCGCGCGCGTGACGTGTGGGACGCGTGCGCTGCGCTCAAACGTCGCGATTTGGCGATAGGCGCTCGAGCCGGCGCACAGCGGATAGGTGCGCCGCGCAGGGGGGGTCGGAGGGGTGCGAGAGAGGGCGTGGGTCGGGCGCGCACCGGACGGCCCTGGGAGCGGCCGTCACGTCGAGGAGTGGGGCTGTTGGCGGCTCGAGCGCCGAGGCGAGCCGCTCTGCTGCGCCGCCGACAGCCCCTCTTCCGAGCCGGCGCGTGGAGGCGAGCCGCGGCCGGTGTCGCTGGTGCGGGGGCGGCGCAGCGTTTATCCCCCCCCCCCCGCCCGCGGCCGCCCGCCCGCCCGCCCGCCCTCAGGCCTTGCCCCTCCGCAGGCGCGGGAGCGCTCGCGGCGAGCACCTCCTACCTCTCGTCGCCCGGCTGCTCCCTTTCCCCGTCACCCGCCGCCCCCTCGCCGGCCGCCTCACCGCGCACGGATCGCTCGCCTGCTCGCCGCCACAGCCGCGTGCGTGTCCCCGCGCCGCCACGCTTGCCCCCTCTCCTGACGCGCACCCCGCGCAGACGGCGCTCCGGGACAGACGGAGCAGCGACCGCGCCAGCGGTCGCTGCTCCGCCCCTCCGTCGCGCGCGCCGCGCGCGCGCTGCGCCGCTGCCGCCGCGCCCCCCTTCGCCGTCTGTTTCCCGCCGTATGGTGTGCGGTGCGCGCACGCGCAGCGCACACGGCAGCGGCTCCCCACCCCCCTACCCACCCCGTGTCCCCGTCGCGCCGCCGCCGCCGCCCCGCCGCCCCCGCCGCCGCCGCCGCCCCCGCGTAGCGTTTGGGGGGGGCGACTGGCGACGGCAAAAATGCAAGCCCCGCCCCTGGCCACTGTAAATACAACGGACACGCCAAACGAGGGGTGGGAGAAGGACAGGGTCCCCACCTGCACAAGCAGGATCTTGTAGGACGATCAGGGACACAGGGGAACGGGAGCGGGGAGCGCATCGCGACACGGAGGGGGGCTGGGCAGGGGGTTCACCCTCACGACAGGAATCCCATCTCTCGTATAGGACAGGTTGCACCCGGCGGCACGGGGGCAAGCGCGGGCCTCCTACTGGTTGCGCTCTCCTAGTTCTCCTGCTCCTGACAAGGGACAGCGACAGGCTCGCAGCACGGTGGACTCCCTATCCACTGGCGATCTCTCTCGACTAGCGACCTTCCTCCGACGTCTCACCGGCAGTCTCTTCTACCACAGGCAGACTGACACGTGGGTGGCAGTGGCGGTGATAGGAGTCTCCCACTCTGTGGGCCTCGCTAGAAGTGCGACCCCTGCGCGTGTCCTCGCCCTTGAGGAAGGGGAAGGGGCTGTGTGTCAGTGCATGTGTACAACATGTGTGTGTGTGTGTGTGTGTGTGTGTGTGTGTGTGTGTGTGTGTGTGTGTGTGTGTGTGCTCGCTCGCTCGCTCGCTCGCTCGCTCGCGCGCGCGCTGCGCGAGCCGCCCTGCCCGCTGCGCTGCTAGGGTTGCGCTGCGGGAAGGGCTCGGCGACCGTTCCTAGAACTCCTCGTCGCTCCCCTCGTAGAGGGAGGGCTCGTTGGACTCAAGGCGTGGGCCGCCGTCGTAGGAGGAGCGGGCGGCTCCGCGGGCGACGCTCGCCCAGTCCTTCTTGTTGCTCTTGACCTCGCCGCCGCCGCCGCCGCGGCCGCGGCCGCCGCGCCCGCGCCGCCCGCGGCTTGTGCCCAGCCTGACCGCGCTCGGCATGCGCTCGTAGATAGTGTCCTTGAAGGCGGAGTGGAGGAGCGCCTCGAAGTTGACGCACGGCGCGTAGCGGCAGCGAGCGGCGGTCTTGCACGGGATGGCGGTCTGGTTGAAGGCCGGGCAGAAGCCGATCCCGTCGCGCACCGCCATCGCCTTGGCCTTGCCCGCCGCGCGCGCGACCTCGACCTTGTTGTCGACGATGAGGCTCTCGAAGGTCTTCTTCTTGGCGACGTTCGCCGCTGCGGCGCGCCTCTCCTTGAGCGCCTGCGCGCCGCACTGCGCGTCGTGGATGATGTCGGCGCTCGTCGTCGCAAAGGCGCGGCACGATGGGCAAAGCTTGTTCCCGAGCACCTTCACACTCCCGACGTCGAGGCGGAGGGGTCCGCCGACATCGCCGCTCGCGTAGACGTTGGGCAGGACAGGGAGGTTGCAGACGAGGTTCTCGTTCTTCACCTTGAAGAGGATCGAGCCGTCCTTCTCGTCCGACTTCGTGCCGAGGAAGGAGTGGTATCCCTCCTGGATGGAGACCACGTTGCCGAAGTGCTTCTCCAAGAGGGGGGCGAAGTGCTCGATCTGGGCCGCGGTGTTGATGGCGCCGCGCGTGCGTATGGCGAGGAGGCCGTCGGAGTCGATGGTCGCCTGGGTCTCGCGCGCCTCCGCCTGCTTGCCCCACACGGTGGCGTCGAGAGCGGCGAAGGTGATGGTGATGTTGTCTGGCGCTGGGAGCTGTAGGACGCCACCGCCGGCGTACTGCTCGAGGAAGGCGCGTGCCTCGCTCTCGCCGCTGAAGGCGACGCAGATGGCGCGCGACGTGCCGATGACGGGCACGCTGATCGCGCTCGCCGGCTGCGCCTCGCAGCCTGGCGTCTTCCTCAGAAGCTGTCGAATCTCGGTGACGAGCGCCGTCGTGTTCTGGATGTCCGGGATGTGCGAGCCGTCGCGCGCCGCGAGCGCGACGTGCAGCAGGCGCTTCGTGCCGCGGTCGGTGCCGGCGGCCGCCGCAGCGGCCATCTGTGCAGCGTCCACCATAATGGTGTCGCCTTCTTTGGCGTCGTCGTCGTTGACGCGCGCGCTCGCGAGCTCGCCGTCGAGGCGGCGCTTCACGCCGAGTCTCTGGCCATCATCGGCCTCTTGCGCGCCGTCGCGGCCGCGCGCCGCGCCCTCGGCAGCGGCAGCGTTGAGCGCCGGCGGC